AGCATGTAACATGATCAGTTAAGGTTGTTTTCTTTAAGAAACACTGGTGGGAGAATCTCATCCTTGACAGGTTGTGACACTATAGATAGATATAAATACATTGTCTCTTTTTTTCTTATTCTCTCTACTATTTTGTTTTATATTCTTTATTTTCCTGTTGCCTTACAAAGCACATTGAACGCCTCTGTACCGGAGTCAAATTCCTTGTGTGTTTACATACTTGGCCAATAAACCTGAGTCTGGTTCTGTTTCTATATTTTGTAAAGTTGCACACATCTCTGGCTGGAACGTGTGCTTGATGCTGAGTGGCTCTATTTTATTAAATGACATCAGTGGGGCTCCCACATTTGCTTCCGAAATTTCATGCTATCCCTTTCACCTCTCCATAATCTGTCATACCTTGCTGGCAAAAACTGTCTGAGTCAGCCTATTTTCTTATCAATGTTTTGCTGTGTTTTCAACAAAAGGTTGGGAAATGCCATGAAACTGCACACTCAGCAGACATATGGATTCTCAAAATCTACTTTTTCTGTTAGGAAACAAATGCGGTGTAAAACATTGCTGCATGTTTGAATGTCTTTAGCTAATTGTTCTGATTCAAATAAATTGGAAGTGTGGTTAAAAATGGATTTGATTCAAAATCATCTATCTGCGACCGTCAGTCAAAAGAGATGACCCAGCGAAAAGTGCTGCTGCAATCCAACACCAGCAGCTCATTCAGTGACTCAAAGTACAGCATCCGTTGTCCCAAAGGAAACGTGGGGTGGGCGGAAGACAAATTCTGGCTTGTCATAAAGTGTCAGTGGAATAGCGCCAAGGCTGTCCATAAGTTATGTAAACACCATTTCAGATTCTCTGACAAACACATATCGGCTACACCCAGTGCTTTGCTTATGGAAACAGATTGACATTTCACACAAAGGCAGCCCACAGAACGAGCCCACTGTCGTCCCACTGCCTTGGTGAAGCAGCGCATCATGTCTCCAGTGAAGCCCCTTTAGTGTAGGAGTATGACCACCCACCTGTTCAGCCAGCATTCATTAGCCTCTCTGTCTGACTGCTCACCGAGCAGCCACAATCCAGCTCTTTAACAGCAGCAGAGATACAGTTCTGCTGCACTGGATTATGCTGGCTACACACATTCTCAGGGGTCTTATCAGTTTTATCGCCTCAGGGTCCTTAAACTCAGTCTGACACAGATTGATTTGAAATATTCTCATGCAAGTTTCATGTAGCATCATCAATTTATGATGAATATAGCTTAAATGTTTTATATAACAGGGTTTTATGTGCTGAACATACAAATGTTTAACATAATTAACTCTAGTTAAAAGACAAAACACATCAGCAACACACATGGCAGTTTACAGTTTGAGGATAATCAAACCCTAGTAAATAACTAACAAACTGTATCTACCTTCCAAACTGATTAGTGGTTAAAATGTTTGTTTTTTTTAAAGTTGATCTGTAGCTTCTACTTACATTGTGACAGTCCATGTCTTACTCTCAGAGATGATTTTAGTCTTCAGGTGAGCTGACTAGTATGACTTGTATGTCTCAAGAGTCTATGTGGACAAAGCAAAGCGCTCTGTAAACGAGTCTCCGGTATAACACAGATGCCTCACTGGCTCTTACTAACAATCACTGTATGTTCAGTAACACCCGCTCACGCACACACAGAGAGAGAGAGACACATAGTCAGAGAGAGAGAGAAGAAGGGAGAGAGAGGGAGGGAGGGAGGGAAGGAAGGAAAGAGAGACCTCCTACAAACATGACAGCATGTGTTCCATCTTTTTAGTCTCATTAAGGTTGCTGACCTACTGTGTTCATATTACTGTTAGAGACCTTTAACACCCCAGATTCACCAAGCATGGCCTTCTGGCTTAAATAAAGTAAATGAAACAGACTAAGCGTGTAGGCTATTTCAAGGAGTTTTACTGAAGTGAGACAGTTTTGACTTAAGTCAAAATGACAAAAGCATTTAGTGTGGATATTATTAAACAGTGCACAAAGTGACTCCACAGAACATCACAAAAATTCACAAGTTGCAGTGTTACAATAATAAACTCCACAAATAAACACAGATGACCAACATAGAAATACTATGTAAAAGCCAGCTGGTCATAAAACAATAAATGCTGACTTTCAAATTCTACTAATAGAGTGAAAATAAAACAGTGTAAGCATCTTGGACTGTTTTACACTAGGAGGTGTTATAAATTTATTAGAGGCAGAGCGCTAACAGCCCTCTCCATCCCTGTGATCCCAGCTGGTATGGCCGCCCACACTTCTGTGCCAGCCTCACAGAGAAGACGGAGAGGGAGAGAAACAGAAAACATCCATTTATCTGAGTTAGATCTCAGACAGTAATGTGCTCCCATTGGCTTTGCAAACCATTCAAACATAATGTTAAGTTACCCTGGTGCCTAATTTGACTAAGCTGACTGGATTTATCTATCATTTCACTTTAATTTATATTCATAATCACTATGTAATTAAATGGACTATAATCAGTCCTAATGTAGTTAGTCTGCTCATATTAGCCAAAGCATTAGTGTGGCTAGCACTAACTTCTTCTGGGCACTTTTAAACAGTGAATTAAAGGCATAAAAGTTAAAAAATGAAAAAGATTAGACAGGACATTTTAGGTACTGAAGCTAGGTCACTGTTAGAAGAGATGGCCCTACTGTACTGTATATACTGTAGAGTTCTGTGGTAGCTTTGTTCAAGATGGAATAAATTCTAACACTAAGCAAGAGTACACAAAATAGCATCATTTTACTGTTTAATCAGTCAGTTAGAAAGTGCTATTAAAGGCAGATTACAGATACAGATGGTGCCTAGCAACTATCAGCATCACCATCTCCTGTTAATTCCATGACGGCACTAAGAGAGAGCAGTATGGTGAGGTGTTACCATGGTAACACTCTTAGAACCCTTTCCTCCACTCCCTCCCTGCACGTTTGAAGGCCGTTGGTCCAGACAAATCAGGCAGGGCTAACGGTGACAGCGGTAAAAGTGTTAACAGCCTAATTCACAAGACAAATGGTTCAGTTGGTCTTTTATGATGATAGATAACAAAATCAAGTTTCACTTTGTGGAGGCTGCGGTGGCTCCCTAGAGGACTGTGGATCTGGCACTAACAAAGCCATTGCATTACAGTTTTATGAGCATGCGGCAGAGTGAAGTCCTCCAACATCACCGATTATGGTGAACTTAGAGAGTGAAATTACAATGTCTAGACATTTCAGATAAGATGATTTTGATTATGACCCTCTTCATGATGTTCAAAATTTATCACAGCAACTATGTCAATTATTTTGGAGCCATTTCCAGTCACCTCCCCCTTGAGATTCCAGGGGAGAGAGTAGATCAGACTCATCCTTGAAGGTTTTATAGGCTACCTGAGACAGGAATGGGAGCACAGCAGAGTGTAGCCTGGCTCAAGACTCCCCTGTCTGAAACTGTGTGAACGTCTACCCCCAGCCTGCTAATAAAAGTTGAGGAGATGTGGGGAGTTGCTGCAGCCTCTATTATATGCAAAAAAATTAAACGTCTGGCTGCAACTGGTAAACAGTGTTTTAAGAGGAAGCATCAAACTTTACCTTGTCACTACTATTGCCTTCAATGTCCTTTTCAGACCCATGTCACTGTTCCCATCCCTGGTGCTCAGCAATTGATGCTGTCCTCTTCACTTTTCTCTTGTATTTCAGAATCAGTTGTCCCTTCTTCTACAAGTTCCTCTGCTTCCTTTAACGTGACCTCTTTTTCATCAGCTGTGTCGTCTGGGTGTGACTCTACAAGTGATCTCTGACTCTCCTTGTTCTCCTCTGGTAGATGCTGTGCACTTGCCTCAAAAGGTTCATTCTCCGTCTCCATTGCAGTAGTTGATATATTTGACTGGGTTACTTGTGATAAATGATTTGCGGCATCACCATCATTAGTTTCTTCATCTTCCTTCTTACTGTAACCTTCTGTAGGTATGCCCTCTTCATCTCCCCCAGCCGTGCTTGCTGTATCATCTTCTTTAAAGTCAGGGTCACTTGACTTAGTCTCATTTTCAGAATCCTTATTTTGCTGAAATTTGCCTTCATGCATGTTCTTGTTATCATCATTTTTGCGATCAGTTTCATCCTCTCTTTCCTCTTCATCTGCCTCGATGGTGGGCTGAAATGATGAGCTGATGTTTTCAACGCCTTCTCCTTTCTCATCATCATCATCACTATTATTTAAATTTGAGTCATTTGTGTCCATCATCTCCTTCATTATTTCAGATGCCTCATGCTGACTTTCCATTTCCTCCCCTTCAGAGTTAACTTCCTTTTCAACTCCCTCCATCTCAGATTCACCATGGTCTTGTGTGACAGATATTTTTTGGCCTGTTGCCAATGCAGTGACCTCATCTTCAAAGCTAATCTCAACCGAGGAATCATCCTCTGGTGTAGCATTACTATCTAATCCACCCTCAATATGAGCTAAACCTTCATGTGTTTCCTCAGAAGAAGCTTCAGGCTCTGTTCCTGCCAGCTTTGTTTTTACTTCCTGATCATCTGCTTCTTGATCATCACCCTCGGGGGTTTCACACTGAGACACTGATGATTCTACAAGATTTCCCCCGGGTTGGGGTTTTGAGCTTCTCTCCTCAAGGATATGTGTATCATTTTCACCACTGAACCCTTCCATTTTCACCTCCATTCCTCCAAGCTCTGTAGCGCACACATCCACATCAGCCAGTCCAGAATATGCAAAGACCCCCACCGGCTCTTTGGCGTCAACATTTTCCTCTCCTTCTGAGTCTAAAACCTCCTTATCTACTGCTGCAATCTCTTGATTATTACCTCCCTCATCTTCTGTCATTTCTAACTCCTGAGTACACACATCTACATTTGAAACCCTACTGAATGATAACTTGTCGCCGGACTCCAACTCTGACTGATGTATATCTTGGTGTTTGTCATTAGATTCCGCATCAACTTTATCAAATTTAGTTATTGTTGGCTCTTTCTTGTCATCTGACTGTACATCTGCAACTGGGAGCCTGTTGCTTGACTCCTCTTCTGGAAGCCCTTTTTCCACTGAAGTTATATCTTCCTCTGTAACATGATGCTTTTCTTCTTCTTCTTCTTCTTCTTCTTCTTCTTCTTCTTCTTCTGTGCTTTCAGTTAAATAGACCTCTTCCAGAACATTAGGTTGTATGGTGAAATAATTCGAGGCTTCTGCTGAATGACTTGATTCATCTTCTGTTTGGGACGCATATGATATTTCTCTGAAAAGCAGCAGTTAAAATGAGAGATTTAAGGTGAGTAATATTCAGAATGACAGTGAGAAAACGTAAGCAACAGAAGTGATATGAGTGATGCTTCCTCAAATCAACGCAATGTCAGAAAGCCTCTGTGACACTCATCTGGAACCTGTCACTGTCTTGCTGCTCCTGGTGGTCTCTTGTCAGTCAGTCCTGCCTTTTCTTCTCACCCTTGACACTGTAAACCTAACAGCACTTTCAATATTGAGTTGACATTCTGTGCTACATCTGGGCCTCTATTCTGCTATGTATTTTCACTTCAGGACCTCTCTGAAAAGATGAAGCATGAGACTGAACTATTCTATTCATATTGTAAAGTAGTTACTACTACTACTGTATTTGATTAACACACATTATTTTAACAAATGTATAATAATTATATTCTAGCATTTAAAAACAACATATTTCATGATGTTGGGACAATGCATCTATATCCAAACCTCAGTGCAGGTTTTTGATTGTTTTTCCTACCACAACCACATCTGCAGGAAACCTAACACAGAATGACAATGTAAACCTTTTAATAATAAATATGAAGAAAATGCATTTTTCTTTAAATATTGCATTACACTTTTGCTTCTCTTCTTTACTTGTCACTATCCTTCCCCTCATGTTCATCCTCACCATCTGCTGATGATTCTTGTGACTGTGATAGCACAAACAATAAGATGAGACTCACTTGGAAATTGTCATATCTGTTGGAGACTGGTTTTCAGAGCTGGCCTGTTGGGAGGGGAGAACAAACAATATTTAAGGTGTAACGGCAGAAAGATTTATAGGTATTTTGATAGTAGTGACATATATATTGTAGATTAATTCAGTACCCCAGTAGTCTTGAATGCATGGTTGTTGTAGAATCTATCTTCCATTTTAGCAGCCCACTCAGCAGGGTCTATGCCACCCTCTACAAGCAAACACACACACACACACACACACACAGAAAAATGACAGAATTTAATAGCAGTTGTCTGATTTTACTAGTTACACATTAAGTTACAGTTACCTTCTCTTTGTTTGAGAAGTGCTTCAAAGTACTGTGCAGCATATTTTGGGATGTCTTCAGGCTGGTCCCTTAGGACTTCTCTGACCAGGCCCTCCAGCATGGTACCAAATCCTCGCGGGACCCGCAGGTGTGTATTGGAGAAAGGCACTGACATTTTTAGGATAAGCTGTGGAGGTAATTCTGTGAAATCAGAAGTTTTTTTTCTCATTATTTAACTTTCTTCCCGATATGTAGAGTAAAAGGGGTAAAAAGCTAGCTAACAATGGAAACGTCCTACAAAATGTTAGCTAACGTTGATTTAATTAATGTATGTGGCTTACAAATAGTAGCTGTAACTATTCGGCTAATGCCACTTAACCTAAACTGCATAAATATATGTTTATTAAGAATGTGTCAAAACACACGTTTAGTTACACCAGTTACCTGGAAAGTGTTACAGTTTGTACCCACCTTTACTTTTGAACGCTATAGCTAACGAGAGTAGGCTGCTTTACTTTGTTGATAATCGTTTCCAGGCAACGCCTCCAACTACGGAGACTGACAAGGTTCAAATAGAATAAAAGTCACAAGAATGTCTTTATTTGATATAAATGCGAGTAATAAAGTGTAAACACAGCACATTAAAAACATATAATGATTAGCAACTGTACATATGAAATAGAACTACTTAATCATGGCAGAATATTGTGAACGCGTTTTACGAAGTCCAACACAAATCAGATGTGCGTTTTTCTCTTCGCTGTCCTCTTCCAGTAGCACCTCGCTCAAGCATATGTGATGACAGCATACTCAGAGTTGGTGCTCATCTTGCGGCTGATTTCTCTTGGCAGGGGGACATGCAGTCTGTCAGCTGAACGTGAGGCCTGCAGGTGACACCTTGATTCATCTCCCCACCTCTGGAAACAGGCAGAAATACATACACACATGCATAAAAACACTTTGGAGACCAGCTCCTATCACCCTTTAATCCAAAAGGTAAAATGGTTTTATTTGAAGGTAACAAACCGTTTGTTTTGCTCCAAAGACGTTTACATCTACCTATTAACCTTGCAATATGCAAATATGCATTCACCAATGAAATAAACTCATTTGTTTAAAAAGTTAAATGACAGGCTATATCCACTCAGCGTCCAGGTAACTAAACTAAACAAAGTATATTTTAATACATTTGCAAGAAATCCTCCCTTCATGAAGGGTATGTTCAGTTTTTAATGAAACAACTTTATAGAGATGTTCATCCAACTGTAACAGCTTACACATGAATTGCATTGCAAGTGTTTCTAAAATTTATTGCACCCTAGTTTATATAAATACAAAAAAAAAAAAAAAAAAAACACTGAATGACTGACTGAATGCCAGGGCTCCCTTTGAAAAAGAGTTTTATACCTCAACAGGACTTATCCCGGGAAAACAAAGGTTAAATAAAATTAAATACTTTTGGAATGTGTACAAACTGTATGAACAACTTAAGCAGTGTTAGCATTATGGGCTGACTCCACAAGCTTCTTGTTTGGCTGATGTTGTCATAGCTTCTAAGCCTTGAGCTACTTTAAAGCATAGCCAAATAACTACTTATTCAGTACTCAATTGCACCACCTTGTACACCAACAGTAACCTTTAAGTTATCATTGTAATACACTGTAGGCAGCTTATCGGCTTTAGATTCATGTACGTGATCTGTGGTTGCGAAGAGTTGCTCATAGAACAGAGGAGACTAAGCTGTGGGCTTCAGCAAGATAAAAGTGACACATGTTGACTCCTAAAGTCTCACCCCTCACCTCTTTTTGATCTCCAGGAGTCAAGTAGCCAGCCTGACTGAGCTCTGGTGAACTGGCTCCTCGAACAGTGATCATTATGTCAGCATATGGAACTTCAGTGTCACTTTCATTATCTGGGTAAAAGGAATGCTTTAATTATCAGTAACTGTAAGTCACTGAGTCTTTGTCCTTACAAAAATAAATGAGCAGTGTTACCAGAGAGATGATCTTACCTGGTGCAGGAATCGTCAAAGTTACTCTTTCACTTGGTGTGGACAGAGACCCTGGGGAATATGCCAAGTATGAATGGTATGTAGAGGCTAAAAATCTTGTTTTTTGTTTTTGTTTTTGATATTTTAAACAGTTTACCTTTCACTGGGGAGAAGACAGCATGGGACTGTAGTGGTGGAGAGCTAAAATGGTAATGGATAAAGAAATGAAATAATAAATAAAATTGTACAACCATAGAGTTTTAATGGTTTTGAACACATATTTATGTAAAGAGTCAATTTTAAATTGCACTCACTCAGAACTTGACTCGGTGGGTTCCCCTGGAATATGTGATATTATTAGTACAGTATCTGGACATTAGAAATTATTACCTTTTTACAATTAGTTTATGTTCCTTGGGTAATATTTTGTAATCACCTTTACCGTTCCAGCTCTGTCTGTTCCGATTCAGACAGAGGTAAGCGGCTAGTGCTGCAAGCACCATGGCCACAGCAACAGTAACTGTTGCTAAAACCTTAATTCCAGTAAATTCTCCTGTTAACATAGAACAAGTAGTATTAACTTGGATTGTGTTGGTTTGAAAGGGCAACTTTCATGTTTTAGTTCCACATATACTGTAGATGTTCATAACTATATAAAATACAGTCAAACATTATCTATGTGAATACATTTATTATTTTGCACAGTCTCAAAGTGTCATCTCACCTCCACTTGAATCTTTTGGCTCAGCAGGATGAGATGCTGAGAAGTGCAGAACATAGTATAAACAAATAATAGTAATAGTAGTTACAGATATTTTGTGTCAGACATCTTCTTTGAACATACAAGGTCCTCACCATTTTTATTTTCAGTCTTTGGGGTAACTGTCCAGTTTGGAGCACTTGTCTGAGCTGTAAACAAACAAAAGGAGACGCATTGAAATATACTTTTGGCACGGTAACATTTGTTTACTTGTTGCTTTCTTAAAGAACTGCCATCTTATATTGATTTTCACATAATAACGTTAATCTACCTTGAAGTTGCAGTAAAATCCTACTCTCTGTTTTTTGTGGAAGTTGAGGATCCTCTGTATGTTCTGTGTAACAAGTATAGTTCTTGAGATCTTCATTTGATATGTTTAACAGATGAAGAGACGTTGTGCAAAGGCTGCTTGTGCTCTGTATCCCAAGACAGCCAGAGTTGTCTGAGGATTTACTCCAGCAGCCACGAACAAATCCAGCGGAGCAATTGTAGCTGCAGTTTAATGTCAAAGAGTCCCCTAGCACTACCATCACGACATCAGTGTGTACCTTCATAGAGAAACAGTTCACCAAATCTGCAACAAGAGGACATTTTATTTCTTTTACTTAGGAAAAATACATAGTATTTCAACAAATACAGGGCACAATTTTTAAAAGATGAGTGCATTACTGAATATATGCACCTGTATACAAAAGCATACATTTAATTACCTTTTGTCACCCAAAAAATGAGCAGTGTAAAGTTGATTGAAATCATCATTGCCGCTTCTAGTTTTTCTGGCTCCTGCTGCCTCACCAATATCCAATAGCTTGTGCTTTTGTACTTTGGTGGTGGCTGCACCTGCAGAACAATGCTGGAGTGCCCACACACATGCGCCAGCCCTTGGGTTAGGGTGCAGGAAGTGGTGTACAACAAGATTTAGAGCTGTGTAAAAATAATTCTCAACTTTCCATTGACTGCACCTGACTTCCTGCAAAGTACATTTCTGTTGTAAAGCGCAAAAACATATCTAAAATTTAACGAAACGCCAGCGGTACACTACTATGTTTAAATAAACAAAAATTTCCATATGCATTAATACTCCAAACCATATGTTTTACACCTGGCTTGAAAAAAATGCACGATAATGTGGTTTACACATATATCTGCAGATGCGCCACTGCAACTTGCTCTTTACTCAAACAGAAGATGTGTCAGTCATTCATTTCCCACTTTAATTTAATGATGTATTTTTAAATCCTCACTCTTTCAAGACTAAAAGGGCCTTTTGTGATAAAAAATTCAACATGAATCAAATTTTACTGAGTACAGAAATCTGATTTTAAACATCTCTCATATTTTATTCTTGTTATAGCTTTTGAATGAATTATACAAGTTGTAGAACTATTTGAACTGTACCACTAACAGGGACAATATGGGGATCAGCTTTAGCACATACCCATTCATTATTAAAGTGGAAAGTTACAGAACATCACTGCACTCCATTATCAGCTACAGCAGTTACCTGGGAATCTTATTTCATGCTCATATTTCACTTTTAGTGACCAAGGTCCTCTCACTTTCATGCTTTCAACAGTCAGTCGTGTACTGTAGGTTAAGACCAGACAGATAAATATACTAATAGCTGAGACAGTCTGGACTTTAATAGAGATGTAGTGATAATGTGCTCATGGAAAATAATGAATCTGTTCTGTTTTGCAGTTTTGTGGATATTTCTTCTGCTGTTACAATCTGGAATCACCTTAGGTAAGAGCAATGACCATTAAAGGTTCATAGTATTATTTTGTAAACTGTACTGTATATTTAACAAATTACACAAATCTAAGAAGAGACAAAGCCATTTTGAGTAGCGGGGCAAACATATTGACTAATGACACACTTCTGCATCCTTCCTGACATTAATTTTTTTATGTAAGAAACATCTGAAGAGATTGTGGACCTATCCTTTAGCAACGACACAACCCTTTATCCATGTGCAGAAGGAGAATACTTCTCCCACCGGCTGTGTTTAGAGTGTCCTGCTGGTCATTTGTAAGTCATCAACCGTCGTTAAAATTACTGGCCTGTATCCTTTTATTATGTGCACCACGGCGATATGTTAGTATTAAAAGAGGCATTGTTTTGCTCCATTGAGGAATAACATAAGAATTTAAAGTAAGATAAAAAAGAAACGAAATATGTTTAATCACTACAGACATGTAACTATAATATGAAGAATTAATTAATACATTCCTGTGATGTAGTTGTCCTGGAAATGTATCTGCACCTCATAGATGTCCAGCAGGAACATTCAACTTCTACACAGGAAAACGTAGTATCGGTGATTGCAAGGTAATAAACTACAGTAAAAATATACATAATCATATTACTTACTGTCTTCTCTCATGCCCCAATTTTGAAAGCTAAATAAATAGGATATTTCATTTGTCTAGCTAACAATGAATCTGATTCACAGACCTTTTTAACGGCAGACATTTTGAATTGTCATAGCATTAACAAGGACATTGCTCCAGCAATTATTGCAATGCAGTGCAGCCATTAATAATTACTTACGCCTGTGTTTTGACAAGTCAAAATGTCATTCATAGTTTGACTTCACGTTTTTCCCCTTCCTTATGTATATCTACACCTAAAAAACCTACCTGTGCTGTACGACGTCATTATTGACTTCATTTTCATATGTTAAAAACCTACCTGTGCTGTACGACAGGTAGTGTCGTTGTCATTAAACTGTCATTATTGACTTCATTTTCATATGTTGCAGCCTTGCTTTCCAGGTCTGATCAGTTCAGAGGACAGAGTGGACTGTAGGCTGTGTCCTGAAGGTTTCTCATGCGATCCAGCCATCGGCACCCTCTTTTTATGCCCCCCAGGACAACATTCTCCTGAAGGGATTTTACATTGTCTGGCCTGCCCTGTAGACTCTGTCTGTACCTTTGGATTCCCTTTTAAGGTAAACATTACAGCAGACAATTTCAATTCCAAATCAAGTCAAGTCAGTTTTTATTTGTATAGCCCAATATCACACTTGCAGATTTGCCTCAAGGAGCTTTATAATGTGTCCAACATACGACACCCTTTGTCCTTAGACCCTCAAAGTGGATCAGGAAGAACTCCCTCAAAAAAAACCATTTAATGGAAAAACAGCAAGAAACCACAGGAAGAGTATTTTCAAGTCAGACAGACATGCACTGAAATAAATCAGCATAATATATTTACAGTATGGAAAATCCGAATGATAAAAACTGTATCACATATAAAAAACATCGTCCAAGAAATCTTGTGTCTGAGAAAGTCTAACTTCTAGTTTGTCGATATAAATGTTTGATGAAGTACTGTATGTCCAAAAATTAACCCACAGCTTGCTTCTTTATTCTCTTCCATGTCCCTCATAGTGTGGACCTGGCAAGGAGCCCAGTGTAGATCACACTGTGTGTAGTGACTGTCCCCCGGGTTTCTATTCCACTGTGTGTACTGTCCGGTGTCTGCAGTGTCCAGCAGGTAGTGCGGTAATAAAAGGCTACAAACATCTACAACATCTAATCTGCTCCCATCCAGTTTTTGATATATGAGTGGATGTAAAATGAATCACTTAATTTGCCATTAAAATGTAAAATGTGTCTGCCTGCCATAGGGAGTTACTGTCCAGGGAGTGGGCTACCACAGCCTCTTCCCTGTCCTCCTGGGTGGTCTTCCACACCCGGACAGACTTACTGCCGTAGCTGCAATGACACTTCCTTACTGTGTGCGGGAGCTATGCCCCCCCGCTGGAGCCAGCCAGCTCACAGATCTAGTCAACCCATCACCTGCCAACCAGGAACGTACAAAGACACAAGGGAAGATGTAGTTTGTACTGTCTGTCCAATAGGTTCGTGTTTATTGTGGCATACTGCCATTTACATTACACTTTCCTTTTAGATAAAGCTTAATATTCATTTGTGCATGTTTTTTATTCAACACAGGTCATTACTGTGTAGGAGATGTAGCTGTACCTTGTCCTGCAGGGACTTATGGACCTAAAGAAGGTCTGCAGAGGCTGAGAGACTGCACAGTCTGTCCTGCAGGTACAGTGGCACACCTTCAGTTGTGATACTCACAGTATCACATCTAAAGGAGGTTACAGTTACATTTATAGCTTGCATGAACAGTTTCTCAAACTTAATAGGCCGGTTTTACTTATCTAATTGTTTTGCATGTCTTTGCCACCGAATCTATAAATATTTTTCTCTAGGGTTTTACTGTCTGGAAGGCAGCTCACAGAGACCCACCTCCCAGTTCCTGTGCCCACAGGGCTATTACTGTGAAGAAGGCACTGCCACCCCTCATGGGTCACCTTGCCCTGCTGGTACAGCGGGGGAACAACTGGGTCAAACAAGTAGAGCAGCCTGTAAGAGATGTAGAGAAGGACGCTTCTGTCCTGCAGGTAAATCTTAGCACTCACGTACAGACTTCAATGGAAACAAGTACGGAAAAACTAAAAAGATGTGTCACTGTTAAACGACTACTGTCATGTTTGACAGGGGGGTTTTGTATGTTGTGTGTGCGACAGGCTCGTCGAGTCCTGGCTTGCCCTGTGCTCGGGGGAGATACTGCCCTGGGGGCACATTGGAAGAGGTTATATGTCCTCAAGGCACCTTCACCCCTCATCAAGGGGCAATAAGTGAGATTATTACTGTTTTATACTCCTCACTCATTAAGTAATATTTCATACTCACAGTCAGTGATTTTCCATTTGTAAGTTATTTATAAGTGAAAGTGATTATTTGGGAGCAGCTTTAGTCCTTCAAAAGCTCAGATGAAACGAACATGATGCTTTGCCAGTCTATCACAGCAAACCTCGGTGATTATATAAAATTCTAGGTGTTGCTTAGGCCCCATGATGAACCAGAATATATGGGTGAGAAATTGCACCAGATGGATGCCAAGAGGGCAAAGAGAGAGAGAGTGTCTAATTTAGGAATATGTAACAACCATCAGTAGCAAGCTGGAGTTGTGAGTCCGCTGTAGAAAAAATGAGTGATGGCTGTGAAGACAAACCTAGCTACATGAGCAGTGAGTATAGAATAGGAGCAGTTCACAAATCCCTAGCTGATACAGTGCCTTGCGAAAGTTTTCGGCCCCCTTGAACTTTGAGACCTTTTGCCACATTTCAGGCTTCAAACATAAAGATATAAAACTGTAATTTTTTGTGAAGAATCAACAACAAGTGGGACACAATCATGAAGTGGAACGAAATTTATTGGATATTTCAAACTTTTTTAACAAATAAAAAACTGAAAAATTGGGCATGCAAAATTATTCAGCCCCCTTAAGTTAATACTTTGTAGCGGCCAACACAAACTAGACTTTTTCAGTAATTTGTTGCTTTGCTTTCCTTCATCAAAAGGACCTAAACAATTGTTAACCTCAGCTCGAAAATGATTTTCAGAACTCAAAGATCTCCGGTACAGCCTAACACTAAACAATTCCTCATGATCTGCCTCTGCAGGGGTACTAATGCCATCGGAGCCACACTGTATAAAACAAATACATGAAACGATCGATTTAATTCATGTAGACTGATGAATGCACTTTTGACTGTTTTGGCATTTTGTGATGTGACTTTGTGGTGTTGGGTGCCTTTAATCCTTGTGTATTTCATCTCACTCCAACAGTGTGTGAATACATTTTATATACTTCTGTTTGCAGGAGTGTGTGTGTGTGACAGACAAATAACATATGTACAATAGGTCAGAACAAAACTATCTGCCCAGTTAATGTAATTGTAATATGATCGTTAAATTGGCTCATGGATAGATGTTAAAACGAACCACCCTGTTGTTTATCTGTATTCAATGGCCCGTGAGTCAAAATTCACACCTAAAGTCATTCAAATGAATCATCATTAGCGTGGAAGGAAAATACTTAAACAAGTCTCACTCATCCACTAACATGAATTAGCGAATTGCGTGTTTGCTTAACTGCAACTAACAAAACGAGGATGTAGGTAAATATTGAAATTCCCTTCGATTGGTGGCCAGTCTGTAAAGCACCGGGTGAGCAGGCGCTCCCTATTGATGAGCTTCAGCTAATCCATCGCATTTCCCTGTAAATAGCTTTCTGCATGAGAAAGAGACCCCCCCCCCCCCCCCCAGACTCATTTGGAGCAGCATAGAAACACATACAGTACACACATGGATCACTGTGTAGAGCTATGGGCAGCTTCTGCACAACTTCTATAATTAATTAAAGTCCCACTCCAGAAACATTTTCATTTTTATATTTGTATATAAAAATACTTTACTATAAACAATATGCAGTCTAACACAGCTTTTCCTCAAAAAAATTTCAGTGGGCCTCTGTAATAGGAATGAACATTGCCCCTCATTGTGCATTCCAGGATCTATGAATGTTGCCGTCATCCCTTATGTGGATTTGAATAATTTTGCACGCCCAATTTTTCAGTTTTTTATTTGTTAAAAAAGTTTGAAATATCCAATAAATTTCGTTCCACTTCATGATTGTGTCCCACTTGTTGTTGATTCTTCACAAAAAATTACAGTTTTATATCTTTATGTTTGAAGCCTGAAATGTGGCAAAAGGTCACAAAGTTCAAGGGGGCCGAATACTTTCGCAAGGCACTGTACCTTTGAACCTAGCAAAGAGCCTAACAAAGTAAGCCTAAATTAATCTTAGCATGGCAACAACATGTATGTAACTCTTTTCTAAAGGTATGAAGGACTGTCTCAAATGCCCGCCTGGTTTCTACTGTCCTGAGGGGTCAAGCGACCCTGTGCCTTGTCCACCAGGATCTTTCAACCCTTTAGAAGGTCAGGATGAGTTGGCTGATTGCAGAGAGTGCTATGCAGGGAAAGCATGCACACAGGTGGCTCTGAGGGCTCCTGATGTTGACTGCATGCAAGGGTAAATATAATCTCTGCAGGCTTCACAAACTGTTTTCTGTCTAGGATCCTCTAGTGAGACTGTCACTATTTTCTCTAGTTTTCAGTAATCCTGCCTTGGCATTGATTTTTCTGTGAGTTTGATCACTCTGCCTGAATCCTGATAGGTTTGTGTGTCCTCCTGGTTCATCTAAACCCAATGCCCCAACCAGTGCTTGCCCACCGGGAACACTGAGCAATCGCACTAACCTCACTGACCGCTCACAGTGCCAGCCATGCCCAGCACGATACGCTTGTCTTCGAGGTGCTGTTTATCTTTTACACAGACACATGTTCAGCTGGCCTTTAAAAACACTGGTTTATAATTCATTTCTATAGTATCATGTACCTGTGCCAAAGTGAGCTGAGTGATATCATATCAATATAACACAGGATGAATTATGGTTATATACATTTCTGACTTTACTTGACAGCTCCAGATACATGAAATTAACAATGATTGGCAGTACCAAATTAATCACTGTGTTCACATTTGTAGTCACTGTGTATAAATGTGTTTTAAAAACCATAACAATAATTTCCAAAGTTTTGTCAAGTCACTGAGGTATTAAATCATAAATACTGTGATATTTGATTGCATCACTACCACCTAGACTCACTTTATTTTAATAAAATCCACATTCTGCAGCTTGTGTGCAAATTTTCTAGCATTGAGGCCTGTATTGTTTATGATTTTTCAGGAACTGGTGGGATCCAGAGACCACCACTCTCCTGCTTTGCAGGACATTATTGTCCTCCTGGAACTATGTTTCCCACCCAGTACAAGTGTCCTATGGGGACATGGAGTGGTCAGAGTGGATTGGAAGCTGAAAGTGAGTGTCAGCCATGCCCAGAGGGCTGGTACTGTTTGGCCGGTTCTGGAGCTCCATCTGGTCGATGCAGCTCTGGGCATTACTGTCCTGAAGGTACACATCAGTGTGACATAAGTGGCGATAAATTAAATGAATACATTGCTTTACTTCTGTAGCCACTGTAAGAACATCTATCTCACAAGAGTATCTTTGAAGTAATTAAATGTTTTGCTTTGCTAAGTGTTAAATTGCAGATTTTCATACCTAATTTAATTCATAAAATAAGATTTGGTTTCTCTTGTAGAGCTGTAATCACGAGTCATTTACGTGGATATAACTATGCTGATGTTGATGTCACCAGGGACTGCATATGGCACCCAGTTTCCTTGCCCTGCAGGAACTTACAGCTTTCAAATGGGCAACAGACACAGAGAAGACTGCCTGATTTGTCCTGAGGGCTCATTCTGTCAACAGGGCACCTCCAAACCTTCCCCCTGCCCACCGTAAGTAGTTAATTATGTGTTGAATATGAAGATAAAGAATTTATGATGAGGACGACGACAATATGGAAAGAATTTGCTGTGATTAGGTAAGATGAAGGACTAAGCTGGTTTAATGATTATGATTTGTTATTTCCACTCCGTCTCGTCTTTCTTCAGCTCCACATTTCGTCATCTGAAAGGAGGTCGGAAGCTGGAGGACTGCTCTGCTTGCCCTGCTGGCTATTTTTGTCCCCACTCAGCCACTGCCACCCCCAGAGTGTGTGGAGCTGGCAGCTACTCTGTAAGGTCCCATCTATGACAATATGACTGGTCAAATGACAGGACCAGTGGAAACCAGCGCTGGCATTTCAGTCTTGTCACTCCAGGAACCGTTGTCTTATTTTTAGATTAGCATTTTCTGCCCACAGTGACATTGTCTTACATTACTCACCATGTATGTAAATGTTTAAATGTCAGTAAGAAAAGCATTTAAACTTAAAATTTATTACAGTTTATCATTCACTCTCAGCACTGAAGCATTATCAGTGTTATTCTAGCATCTTCCAAATGACAGTAAACAATCTCCCTTATGTTTTCAGTCTGTCTTTTGCCGTGTCCCTCCCCCGTACTAGTTGATATCTTTAACTCTCTGAATCTTCCTTGATGTTCTCTTGTGTGTAGGACGAAGGCTCTGCGGAGTGTTCTCCATGTTTGCAGGGCCACTACTGCAGTAATGAGACCACTAGTGAAGAAGCCATGTTAAACGTTATGGTGTGCCCCCCAGGCTTTCTCTGCTCTCAGGGTTTGGCCAGAGAGCCCCAGCGCTCTGCCACAATGTGTCCTCGAGGCTTCTACTGCCCAGGAGGAGCCATTGTGAGTCAGAGAACGACATACACTGTACAGCTAAAGAAGATTTTAGTTTGCTTTTTAAGTTTTCATTAAACTACCTACAAATTATTTCCCTCATAGGATCCAAACCCCATTCCTTGCCCCAGTGGTACCTACAGTGATTTTCCAGGTCTCCGTGACATGAGTGAGTGTGTCCAGTGTCCTGAGGGGAAGTACTGTTACTCTGAACAGCCTCAAGAGCGACCTATCACCAGGCCTGTAAGATCACAAATAAAATATTGACATTGAGCAATTATTTTGCACGTCTTCACCAGACTCATTTTCAGTGTAGTAGCATTAAATAGTCACATACATAGTTATACAATTGTACTGAACATTGTACTTACAAAGTACATGACAGGATTATCTTGAATGCTGTAATGTTTCAGACAGGAGTGTGTCCTGATGGACACTACTGTCCACTAGGGACTGGCTACCCATACACCCACCCCTGCCAAACTGGCCATTACAGGAACAACACACTTGGCCACAGTGGAGAGCAGTGTGTTTTATGTTCACTCAGGTACTACTGTGGCAGCCCAGGAACAGCCATGCCCTTAGTCTGCCCTCAGGTACTGTGAAGATACAGTAATTAAAAAAAGTATTATCTCATGAGTGAGACAGTGTAACTTCTCTCTAGGTGTGCTTTCTACTATATATCTCATATAGTAAGAGTGTTTCTTTCTTTCTGAATCTCTTTCTCTGGTTGTCAATTTATTCATAGGGCTTTTACTGTCCAGAGGGCACTTCTACTCCTGAACCTTGCCCTGAAGGAACTTATGGCGCACGCTCCGCTCTCAGTGATGTGTCTGAGTGCTCCCCTTGTTACGGTGGCTGGTATTGCACTGGTGTGGGACTTACAGAGCCCTCTGGAAGCTGCCAAGAACGCTTCTACTGCAGAGAGGGAGCCAAGTCTGCAGTACGAGAATGCTGTTTTAATAATGTGTTAAACAGAGATTGTTAGTCATTAATTCTGAACCTTTTTTTATATTATACTTTGACCCTCATTAACTTCTGTAAAGTGGTTACTAGTCCTTCTGGGGGTCCTTAAGTAAATTCAGTGAAATAAATAACAACATCTTTTCTAACTGATATGTTTTTTCAAAGAGCATTACTACAAAAGGATTAGAGGAACTTTCTTCATCAGTGATGCTACTCAAATTAAGACAGTGTGATTTTCAGTGTGGTGATGGACAGTGTTGAAAAGTAACATTTGCTCAAGTACTTTACTTAAGTGCACTTTTGATTTATCTGCACTTTGCCAGTCCCTATTTCCATTTTGTGCCATACCTCACTTTTGACTTCACTACATTTTAGAGAAAAATACTGCACTTTTTACTCTGCTACATTTATTTTATAACTTACTAGTTACTTTTCAGAATCAGATTAATAAATAAAATACAGCACAGTCATAAGACTTTATTGATCTCTGGAGGAAAGTTCACAAGCTACCCGGCAGTACGTCACATTGTAAGCATATAAGCTGGAAGTAGCTCCCCCTTCACCAGCTGCAACATTAAACGTGATGTACACAATAATGTGCCAATAATTACAGTCCATTAATAATATACAATAATGTTAAATGTGCCATTATGCATATTGTGAGTACTATTAGTACTTGTTTTGATGTTAAAATTTTGCACTTTTACTAAAGTAACATTTTTAATCTCTGACTTTTACTTGTATCCGAGTATTTTTACACTGTGGTATTGCTACTTTTACCTAAGTAAAGGAGCTGAGTACTTCTTCCACCACTGGTGATGGAAGTCTTATCAAAACATTACATTATGTTTTACATTATATTATTTGCACTTCACACTATTGCTTATCTGTCCATGTATGTGCTGGGGTTATGTCCAGACTCCAGTTGATGGTCCATCAGGAGGTTTGTGTCCATCAGGAAGTTACTGTCCTCTAGCTTCATCTTCTCCTCTTCCCTGCCCCCCCGGCACCTTCAGCAACAGCACTGGCTTCAGCAAGCCTGAGGAGTGTGTCAGCTGTCCACCAGGGTAATACCACTTATATTTAACTCACTGTTCATTCTATTATTCTATTGTTATTCATTCTGTTTTTAAGAGGACCATGTCAAATTCAAGCCTTTACTATATGTCAATATGTTTCTCTTCCTGTCAGTTTCTATTGTTTAGGCTACAACAACTCTTCACCCTCAGGTCCTTGTTTTTCTGGTTTCTACTGTACTGGAGGCTCAGCTTCACCTGTTCAGAATGAAGCAGAAAAAGGTCATTATACCTTGGAGGGTGCATTCAGGGCACAACCATGTCCTCTTGGCACTTTTCAGCCGGTAGGCAATACACCATACAGAATACCAAGCGTTGCTACTCTCAGAGTTTCCTATTAAAGTTATATAATGAGAAAATGCCATATTCAAGTTTATTCCCTTGTTTATAAATCCTCCTCAGCATCAAGGTGCGCAGTCATGTGTGGAGTGTCAGGGAGGCAGACTGTGTAACAGGACGGGCATGTACCAGACACCACTGTGTCCCACAGGACACTTCTGTCCTCCGGGGTCCTCTATTGCTCGCCCCTGTCCTCCAGTGAGTATGTGTGTGTTACAGTGTGTATGTGTGTGTGTGAGAGAGAGAATATAAGTTTGCTGCTAATGCTTATTCTTCAGTCTCCTTCTTATGTGTGTTCATGATCAGTTATGTTCCCTGTATCTTCTGTTTCTAATTTTATTTAGTCTTGATCTAATTCCATTAATTAAAATTGTAAAATTACAGTATCTGGTTATTCAGGGCTCCTACTCTGACCAGCCTGGTGGCGATGCTGTGTGGCACTGTCGGCCATGCGAGGCTGGTTGGTTCTGCAGCAGAGCAGGTCTCTCTGACCCTCAGGGTCTCTGTGACCCTGGACACTACTGCACCTCTGGAGCCTCCACTGCCTCTCCAGTAAGACATGATGAAGTAGTGGTATGAAAGTGTAAACAAGACATAATTACATAAAAGCATTTGTAGAAGCATGAACAGAAAGTGTTTACTCTGACAGTGTCTTTACATAAAATGTAAATATAACGTGCCTTTGCCAAGGTATTTGAGGTTATGCACAGGGCATGAGAGAATATGTTTTGTTCCTCCATAAATATGTTTCATATGCAGTGATGTGGCAAGAACCCCTGATATATTATTCTAATTTTCACTGTGATGGTGAAATCTCTGACATTAGAATTTGGTTTTGGTCAAGTCATCCTATATTTTGTTATCATGTTACAGTGTATGAGCCAGGGTGAGGAGCACAGACAAAGGAAAATATGTAGTTAAAGAGCTGGAAATATCCTGAATTTTAAGCCAAATATTTCTGCTGTAGCTGTGTGGTTGATTTGATGGCAGCCGTTAAGTTCCCACACACTGTGACTACAGTGTTCTCTGTCATTTGATATGACTATGAAGTTAGAGGCATGTTTAGCTCAAGTTTGCATTAGTTAAATAAATGTTTTTCACAAGTGCTTTTTTTTTTTGATAAACTGCAGTGCGTGGGAAATGAAGGACAGCTACCAACTCACACCATCCACAGCTATAACTTTAAACTTCTAACCAGAACTTAAAGCCAAAATGATCAAACTTTGTCATAATCAGATGTTTCCTCCAACACTCCCACAGGCAGCTGTGCCCTCTGGTGGCGTGTGTCCTGCAGGCTACATCTGTCCCCGAGGGACCAAGTATGCCCAGCAGCACCCCTGTCCTATTGGAACCTGGAGCAACACTGTTGGAGCTCAAAATCTGTCCTCTTGCTGGCCCTGTCCTCCGGGACTCTACTGCAACAGCACTGGACTCAGCCAGCCCTCTGGCATCTGTGATTCAGGTACAGTAAAAGAATTAATTATCTATTAATTAGAGAAAATCAGATTTGATGTTTAAAAAAATGTTTGTTTCTTTTGGTCAAGAAAACATCACCTCTGTGTTTTAAATCAGTGTCTCTACTGATTTATAGGGTATTACTGTTCAGAAGGGGCAGCTTCTCCAATGCCCTTAGATGGTGAGACAGGGGACATTTGTCCAGTTGGACACTACTGTCCCGTAGGCTCAAGTTCTCCTCTACTCTGTCCTGATGGAACTTATTCAAGCTCTACAGGTATAGAAAAGCACCTGCATAACATATGAGGTTGCAGAATTTTAAAATATGAAATCCAGGCAATGTGTTCATTCTTCCTTGGATGAAGGGGCAGAAGTGTGTGACGACTGCCCTCCAGGGACCTACTGTCTGTCAGGAGAAGGGGTCCAGGCCTGTCCAGGAGGCCACTATTGTCTTGGTGGTGGTGCTGAGACCATCTTGCCTTGCCCTCCTGGCACATACAGCCCTCAGTTTGGCCTCAGCCATGTGGAGCAGTGCCTCATTTGTCCAGCAGGTGAGAGTGTTGTCACATGGTTGTCCTCAGTGCTCTGTCTGCAAGACACTGGAAAGTATTTGCTGGATGTGCTGAAAGTAATCAAATTTAATGAACTAGAGAAAGATTTTTTATTTTGTGATAGGATTTGTTATAAACACTGTCAAGATTTCAGTGCCTCGTTTTTCATATTTTGTTAACAGGGTTGTACTGTGAGGACTGGGGTCTGTTTGAACCTACAGGGCCCTGTCAGGCTGGCTATTACTGCATAGCAGGTATACTGTATGTACAGTATAATACCAGCACAGTTTTAGATTTTTACAAGTAGATAGCATGTCAACCACATGTCCAGTAACCTGTAATGCGACCTAAAGACCTGCTACTGTACAAAATGCATTTGTACTGCTAAACTGGACTGGACAACTAAACATAACTAAAATGTGCAACTTTTCAAGGTGTGAACTTTCAGAACCCGGATGGTAACTTCAGCACAGGAATCGGAGGAGCATGTCCAAAGGGAAGGTACTGTCCTGAGGGCACCAGTCTCCCGGTGCTCTGTCCCCCAGGGACCTACTCTAATAGGTTGGTGTGCCAAAGTATTACACATATAGTGTTCTAAGAAGTTTACCTATTCCTCTTTTTTTCTAACTTTTTAACTGCATATGTTTGTATCATCATGGACGACATAACTGCTCCCCAAAGTGAAGCCACTGCGACTGCAACCAGCCTCCTGGTGGATAGTCGCAGTATAGGTCGTAAATCCTGCTTCCTCCATGTTAGTTGATGAAACGTGAGCCAAAATAAAAACTCAAAGTAGAAATCAGATAAAATTTCTCCAGAGGTCACTTCTGTGGTTTTTTTTGTATATATTATCACACTGATGTGTGTAAAAGTGGTCATTTTTCTGGTAAGTTTAATTTTAATAAGTTATTTGATGATATAAAAAGAGGTGTATTTTAGTTTAGAGCTTTGATTGGTGGTCCGATGCTGTCACTCCACTTCTGGTTGCCACTGAGCAGAATCTGGATGTGAAAAACGCAAGATGGCAGCCACCGTATTCACGCTATTTAGGCTTCACTTTTAGTGGAGAGAAGTAGTGATGTCCATCGTACGTATGTGTATGGTTGCAGGCTTCACCTGAAAGAAAGCACAGACTGTAGTCCATGTCCAGCAGGTCACTTCTGTGGTACTGCAGGTCTCACTCATCCATCTGGACTGTGTGAGGCAGGATTCTACTGTCCAGGGGGAGACAGAGAAGCTACAGGTAAAACTGCAAAATACTGACTCTTCATATTTTTCATGAGAAGGTAAATTAACTTGTTCTTATGGGATGATAGCACTGAAATTTACTACACTGATTCTTGGTGAAAGGTAAGCTTGGTTTGGTCGTCAGCGATTCAACTGTTAATCAGTGATTATAAAATGAATGTATTACTTGCATGATGTGAAATAGCTGCAAGCAAAACTAACATCTAATGTGTGAATATAAGTCTTATGAATAAGCATCAGATAGAAGAGAAACAGATGCTGATGAATGCAGGAAATCTTAATGTGTGAGGGTGTTTTGTTGAATGAGCACAATTAATCAGGGTTTATCACAGGATTCATCACATTAAGGGCTTAGCAGTCATTATCCCAGTCATTTAGGAAATATAATTGGTTTTTCTCCTCCAGGCTCAGAAGGAGGTCTTTGTCCAGTAGCTCATTACTGCCCTGAGGGTAGTGCTAGCCCAGTTCCATGCCTAGCTGGAACCTACAGCAACCTCACAGGCCAGTCTGTGTGTTCTCGCTGCCTCCCTGGATACTACTGTCCAGACAAGACTGGCAACTTCACCAAGTTCCCCTGTCCCCCTGGATTCTACTGCCCTGATGGTAGTTTCACCCAAAACAAATCAGTCATGGTTGTGTTTCTCCATAAATTACTGTAATTAAAAAACTTTCACATTTAATAAATTCAACATAGCCTCTATAGAGAATCTTCTTACAGCACTGAAAGATTGTGTCAGGTTTGATAAATGGTTCCCTTCAGCTTTTACAATACAGGATATAGCATTTAAAACAAAAAATATGGCATGTGCCACTTGAATTTTCATTGTGTTATTTGCAGGTACTAGGCATGCCACCCAGTTTCCCTGTCCTCGTGGATACTACAACCCAGAGCCCATGACTCAGAGTCTGGACAGCTGCCTGCCTTGTCCTCCGGGACACTACTGTGAGAACGAGAGACTGACCAAAGTGTCAGGAAAATGCAAGGCTGGTCAGTAATAGTGTCTTGTTTATTTGTGCCAAAATACAATAGTAGATATACAGCCTCATTCCTCAGTGTCAGGACTTAGTCCTCTGTGCCAGCCTATTTGTCTCTAGGGCTCAGCAAACCAGTCCAAAGCAGTCTGGGGTAGGGAACAAAGAATGCACATTAAGCACAAACATCACAACTCATTACAAACCACATCAGTCATGATTTTACTTCTGCACTTTACACTGTTACTCTAGCATTTCAACAACAGTGACCTTTAAATATCACCCTGTATTTTTTTTTTTTTTATGTACAAAGATGTAAAACAGCCTGGCTCCATATGTTATCCACATTATGCACACAAGTCACAGGTAGACATTAGAACAGTGGCTTTTTTTAGCATCAGTGACTCATCTCTCTCACCTTGCTGTGTAAAGCTGTCATCCTGCTCTGTTATTTCACCTTGTGCTGAGAAAATTATCATGTGATGTCTACAGTGATGCTGCATACCATGTTCGTTTGTATGTCGCAGAGACAGACATCAGCCAAAAACATCAGTGTGTTATTTTCATCTTCTTCTCCCCTGACTTTTGCTGTGTTTGTTGCTCTCAGGTTGGTTCTGTGTATCAGCAGCATGGAACTCCCAGCCATTTGACCTGGACAATTACACAAATGCAAACTGTCTATGTCCAGCTACCTCCACAGGGGGGCGCTGCCAGGTGGGCTTTTACTGCCCCCTGGGTAGCTCTGAGCCCGTGCCTTGTCCGCCAGGAACTTTCTGTAACATCTCAGGTAGCCAGTCACAGAAATTACATTTGACACTCACTGATCTGCCATTATAAAGCAAACAAAAACTTACTGGGAAAATATACTGTATTTTGTTAAAATATATTTGAATGGATGGAAAGATACATATGGGCAGTATGTATAGTAAATGTATGGTATATAATCAACACATAATCTCTTTCTTGCTGAGAGAATTGTACAGTAGGAGTAAAAAAGTACATAGATGTGACAACTTGAGGCTTCTTAGGGGCACACACATTAATCTGCAGAGGGTATGCCAGTCTCTAAGCACTTAGATGTAGTATTTTTGGATCTATAATAATATGAATACAGTACAATAATATACAAATAACAAATGCATTTATGTTGTTCAAAAGGTTTGGCACTGCCAATGGGTCCCTGCTCCCCTGGGTATTACTGTGCAGGAGGAGCTACTGATGCCAGACCAACAGATGGAGAAACAGGCAACATCTGTCCACCTGGGACATACTGTAGTAAGCCCTGCTCTGCTGCCTTGAAACACTTGTATCAATAAACTTGCCAGCAAAGTTTTTTTATCCTATTAATAGTAAAGTGCTTGATGAAATAAACAGTACATTGCTGGAGACCATCAAATAGGGAATCTGTATAAACTGTATACGTATCACTATTACACTGCAAAAGATTGCAAAGTCATATTATATCTTACCTTATAACAAAGGAAGCAGAGCTGATTGGAATTCTTTTTCTATAGCAGAATGGTCCCAGCCTGGATCACTGGGGTTTGCTCTAGACTTTATTTTTTCCACAGCCCCAGAGGTATGCAAATTAAGTAGACTGGAGACTAAGTAGCTATGACTCAGCTGGATTGAACTCCCTAAATTACCCATGGGTATGAGTGTGAGTCATCTTGTTTCTATTTGTGTTAGTCTGTTGGTAAACTGTTGACCTGTGTAGGGTGTCTCCTCTCATTCTGTGTTGCCCTGTAGCCCTGCCTGGGCGTTGGTATGCAAAGGCAGACAATGAATAGAAGAAGGAATGATGGTTTACTCCAGCGATTTCTCTCCACAGTGGAGGGCGCAGGGGAACCGGAATTGTGTCCAGCTGGTACTTTCTCCCCAGCGCCAGGTCTAACCAGTGAGGCTGCCTGTCAGTCCTGTAGTGCAGGTTTCTACTGCAGAGGAGCAGGTCTCAGGGCACCAACTGGCCCCTGCAGCCCAGGTCAGTAAATACACTGTTTCATGATGTATCGGTATTACGAACCTTCATCACCTGCCTGATGAAAGTATTCTTTATTATAGCTCCAACCTCCTTTCTATTCTTTACCCTCTACTGGATTACGGTTCTTGTCACCTTGATAGGCTACTGGTGCCCTCCTGGTGAGACTGTGGCTACAGCCCTGCCATGTCCTCCAGGCCACTTCTGCCCACAAGGTAGTGCAGCCCCACAGCTCTGCCCATCAGGAACCTACCAGGACAGAGAGAAACAGGAAGCCTGCACTGTCTGTAAGGCTGGTAAGACACCTGCTATATTCACTTTTTTTTAACTTTCTCAGTAGGAGCACATATTTGTTTTACTTAATAGGCCGTAGTGAAAGCAGCTCTCCAGCAACCAGCAAGTGTTTTATTTATTGAAGTTAATGACTCGTTCACATGCAGGTGCTGCATTTATTAGACTGTAATTTGCAAGTTTGTCCAAAGAACTGTTCTGTAAATGTGTTTCATTTTCCATCATTATGTCTTCAGTACTTCCCCATACTGGCAGTCCTAATTTAAAAAGATGCATTCCTCCTCTTTCAAGGTTTCTACTGTGATTTGAGACTGGGTCTAGCCAATGCCTCTTTGCTGAGGCCCTGCCCTAAAGGACACTTTTGCCCTGCAGGCACAGCCCTGCCCAACCAACATCCCTGCCCTGTAGGCTCCTTCAATCCGAGACAACAAGCAGACAGCCCTGCAGACTGCATGCCATGTGCTGCTGGACAGTACTGCCCTTCTGTGGGATTGTCAGAGCCATCAGGTGAGAAACAGAGGGATCTCTTCTCTTCTCTTCTCTTCTCTTCTCTTCTCTTCTCTTCTCTTCAGCAGTGGTAGGCACTGCTATGTATGTGATAATTAGAACATCTTGAATTTTTAACCCTGACCCTAACCCTAATTCCAACAAACGAGCTTCTACAGTTTTCTTATGTTATTTGTTTTACTGTACTTTCTTAGATAATCTATGTGAAGGGCTTATGTAAGGTTTATAATAAGATTCCCCCGTGGAATGGAAATAAACATTTTTCAAACTCTACAAATAAGGATGTGAACTAATATGTTTGTGTTTGATTAATGTTAATTGTGTCCATTATTTTTACGTAGAAGCTGTGGTCTGTAGCATGCAGGCTTGCAGATGTATTCACATTAGCATGCACTCACGTATATTGTGTTGAAATATTCTCTACCTTTAGGACCATGCCATGCTGGATACTGGTGCAAAGAGGGAGCATCCTCTCCCAGCCCACTGGATGGACTCTCAGGTTCCCTGTGTCCACCTGGTCAATACTGCCCCTCAGGTTACTTGATCTCCCTTAAGCAATCAGGCACCAGCAGCTGCTTCAGAGCTGCTCTACTGCTGGTACCTGAAATATATCAGGTTGCATAGGGACCACATTTTCATAATTGTGTTTTTGTAATCCAACATTGATGCAGCTTTTTTAAATAGGGTAATGTAAGCAAATTTATACTGTGATGATATCAACATTCTACTCTATTAAAGTCTAGGCTCATAATGTTTTATTCATGCTAATTACCATTTCTTGGCCTACAGGAATTTATGACAACATTTATCTTATAACTTTAATCAGTTTCTTCAAGTTAATTTGTACACCTGTTCTCTCTGACCTTTGCTCTGAAAAGACTGCTGTAGAGTAAACTCTTCCTTGTTTGGAGTCGTTCAACCACACATGCAATAATGAGTGCTTTATAAGCGTATCATCTTAGTTGCAAAAGTGCCTAGTGTGTAAAATGTTGTCACAGTATGTTGTATCGCAAAACCTAATAACTGCAGAGTGCTTGTTATCATCAGTAGTCTTTTAACAGTTGTCTATATACTTGTCTGTTTACTGCAAGTGAAATATGAGTTGGTGTGTGTGTGTGTGTGTGTCATCTTTTCAGGCACCACAGCTCCCATTGCCTGCTCTGAAGGAAGCTGGTCAAATAGCTCAGGCTTGTACAGCCAGGAGGACTGCAAACCCTGTCTAGGAGGATTTTACTGTGACTCTACAGGCCTCACAAAACCCAGTGGACTCTGTACCGAAGGGTATACCAGACTCCAGTTAACTTAAGGAATAAAATAACTTAAGGAATAAAATTTACCAGTATCCCTATTGTTGATATTATTTAAGACTAACTAATGAAAAGTGCTTCCCAGCCATCTTATCATTGCAGGTTTCAAAACTAAGTATTACTGGCTCTTGTGCATATAATGTATATATCATTTTTATATTGGTTCTTATTCAGATATTACTGTGTGGAGGGAGCTGTCACACCCACCCCTACCGATGGAATTACAGGGGGCCCTTGTCCCGAGGGTTACTGCTGTCCACAGGGAACCGTTCAGCCTGTGCTTTGTCCTCCTGGGACGTATGTGGCTGTTACACTTGCTACTCATTGTGATCCCTGTGTGCCAGGCTGGTACTGTGTGTCTGGCTTTCTGTACCTCTGTCCTGCAGGTTTGTGTTTTCCTGTTTGGTGTACATGCTAATTTTGGAAAATCATTTATCAATAATCAAACAAAAATAGCTGAAAAACAGAAACAGACAACAAACACTGGTGAGAAAAATCTATGCAATTACTAAACAGTTTAACCTAAGTTTTTGTGTCCTTCATGTGTATGCATTTCTTTGTGTTTGTTCTGTGACCTGCAGGCTTTTATTGCCCTGAAGGAACTGGATTTGACTTGAGAGGCTGTCCAGAAGGAACTTACGGTCCTGACCCCGGCTACTGGTCTGTCTCTCAGTGCAGGCAGTGTGACGGCGGCCATTACTGCTCTTCCAGAAATGCTACAGCTGTCACTGGACCATGTCAGGAGGGATATTACTGCTCACATGGAAACACCTCTCCACAGCCTGCCTCACATACTGCAGGTAAGCGGAGAGCTTTACCAGACATGTTCACAAGGAAATAGAGTACACTATCATCTGATAATATCATGTTTTTTCTGACTAATACAGTATGTGAGAAAACTGAACAGGTAACCTGATGAATGTCTGAGGCACTGGCTCTCCATCAGTAAGGAAAACTTTTTGATTGGCTTCGCCATCAGTACTCCTAGTTTGGGACAGTTGACAAATTGCATCTGTGTTTCCTGTGTCTCTCACCAGGAGAGGGAGGTCCATGTCCTGCTGGTCATTACTGCCCCGAGGCCACCGTTCATCCTCTGCCCTGTCCTCGTGGAACATTCTCTGACCTCATCGGATTAGCCTCCCAGGTCGTTCTGGCTCAGTATCACATTTACATGTCTCCTTGACAATGAGGGAGACAAAAATCTTACTCCTCAAAATTAAACCAGGATGGAATTTGATTGAAATTGCCAAATTTTATTTTATTGACTTCATGTCTTGCCTTATTCACTTCATTTCTTATTTACCTGTATTATTTTATATTACTAGTATTTAATATTTTACACTTTGGGTTTACATGGAGTATTACATAGATGTCTGTTATGCTCTACTAGTTTTTGGTCAGCAGCCCTGCTACTATGCAGTAACATAATGCTTTCTCTGTCACTGAGACAGCCAATCAATATCTAATCCCAAATCAATATTGCAGGGAGACTGTCTCTTTTCTTTCATTTTCTTACAGTCTCTATATTTTTCTTCCCGTCTCTCATTTCCACTGTCAGGAGGATTGTCAGCCATGTCTTCCTGGCTACTACTGTGATGCTGTGGGGCTCTCTGTGCCTTCGGGAGAGTGCTGGGAAGGTTTCATCTGTCTCAGGGGTGCAGATCGTCCCGACCCTCCAGTGAGAGGCAGCCGTGGAGGACCTTGCCCAAAAGGTGATCAGATTCCTCGGCATTAAGGCATCTCCACAAAGCAGATAAATAGATAAATAATAAGAAGAAATAAAAAATTAGAGAGGATATTGTTAAAAGAAAATGAATCCAGCCAGTCAGCAGAAAAAAATAGGAATATGTAATCATGAAGCTATTGTTTAGACAAGAAATAGAAAGAAAATTGGAATTGTGAAGCACACAGTTAGCCTTTAAAAAGCCTAAGGGCAGCTTTGTGAATAGGTAAACAAAACACTTTTTAAAAGTTAATAGGGCTAAACACAAGCAACTGCTCTTTTGACTCTGCAAATCAAACCCGCTCCCCTGTGGACTGTGTGTCTCTGTGTATGTGCTTAGGTGTGTATTGCTTTCATGAATCTTTTCTTCACACAACTAGGATATTACTGTCCTGAGGGCTCTGTGGCTCCTCAGAAGTGCCCCCTGGGAACCATCAGTACAGAAGATGGCAGAGCCAGCTGTGATGCCTGTCCCCAGGGGTAAACCTGCTTATCAGTCACAATCACTGTGCACCATAAAAACATACATTTTCACCTGTGAACATGGTGGATTATGCCAGAGCTGTAAATATACATATAGTACATGCTTTTGATGTTGGTTTGTTTACATATAGTGTATATACACACAGGCTCAAGTATGTTCCAGCCTCATTGCCAACACCAGTTGCCAACTACATTAATCTATCCTTGTTCTGTTTGGGTAGTTTTTACTGTGCTGGCAGTAGTAATGGCGCTTTGTGGGAGAGTTACGAGTGTCCAGTGGGTCATTACTGCCCGTCTGGGACTTGGTCGAAACACCAGTACCCATGTCCAGCTGGATCCATCAACCCATACACTCGGATGACAAAACCTCAGGATTGCTTGCCTTGCCCACCAGGTCACATGCCAGTCACTGCTAATGTTTGTGACAGTATCTAATGTAGTGCATTATCTGTTTTGCAAAGTAATCTTTTTCTCTCACTTTTTTTTTCTCTCAAACCAGGCTCCTTCTGTGCATCCGCTGGGAAGGGTGCTGCATCAGGCCAGTGTAGCGCAGGCTACTACTGCCACTCTGGGGCCTGGTCACCCACACCAGAAGACAGAGGGAGGACAGGTGACAGATGTCCTGAGGGTCATTACTGTCCTCATGGCTCCTCGGCACCACTGCCTTGTCCCATAGGATACTACACTAACAAAACCAGAAACAGTCATGTCTTCGACTGCCTGCCTTGTCCTCCAGGTTGGCATTGATTCAGCACATATTGTATACATTAGTGGCTGTGTCTTTTACTTATCAGAAGATGCAGTTTCCATTAATGCAAATAACAGGAGATAGTCTCCTCTCACAGTGTTTGTCACTGTTCATTTGTGTTCCTTTTGTTTTGTAGGTTTCCTGTGTGTCACCAGAGGGCTCTCCTCCCCTTCACTTGTCTGTCCAGCTGGCTTCTACTGTCCAGGCACAGAAAACAGCAGCCAGCAGGCCTCTATACCCTGCTCACCTGGAAACAAGTGCCCACCTGGTTCTAAATTACAGGTTCCGTGCATGCCAGGGACCTACCAGGATTTGCCTGGACAGGTGAGTAGGATGTGGATGAATAGTCTCATAAATTTTGGCATGCACTGGCTGCAGTCACAAAGGCAAGATGCACTTACTATTTAAGCAGTTTAATTAGCAACAATTGTGCTACTGTCCTACACAATATATGGCTTAATATAGAAAGAAAGAAAGAAATATAAGGCTTAATATACTGGACTGAAATTCTGACTTGCTCTAAAACTGGACTGGCTCTACTGCCGCTGACTAACTGTAAGTACTCAATGGCACTAGACGGCTTTTTATTGTATTTTGAAGCTGTGTTATTTGCACATTCTGGGGGAAGTTATGACTCTCCTGAAAGCAAGGAGATAAGATTCCACTTGGCCCAGTTTTGTTAATGTGTGTGCACTGCATCCAGTTTATATAATATCTTCTTATATCTTCAATGCAACTATATCAAGCATTTATGGCTGTTGATGTTATTGAACATCTGTAGTCACAATTTTGTATTTGTACTGTGTAGATAAAAAAAGAAAAAGTCCATAATTCACCCCTCCACAGGCAGAGTGTGTTGAATGTCCAGGAGGATTTTACTGTGCTGGCTCAGTGGATGCTGACACTGGGCATGCGTCTGGGACTCACACTCCCATGCCGTGTCCCCAAGGACATTATTGCCCACCAGGTAGGATGCAGTAGTGTAGCTGTTATAACACATTATTGGCAAATGTTCAGTGTTATCACATGATGTTATCAGATAAAAATATATGTGGGAAACAAGTGATGCCTCAGGTCCACTGGCATTGATTAATACACATAGAAATGCTGGTGAATACTGTTCATGTTTTGTGTGTACTCTCAAACAAGTGACTGCAAATCATTTTCTAATTCTGCAAATGGCCATTATAGAGCATAATCAAGATGAGAATGGTTTTCACAAACTGTTCTGTGATGTTTAGTCCTGGACCATCTGTAGGTATTATATGCTATTTATCAACAGGAACACAGGCTGGTGTAGCATTCCCATGCCCAGCTGGCACCTTCAGCGGACAGATGGGATTGTCCAACAAGCTGGACTGTGAGCTCTGCCTTCCAGGGAGATATTGCAGTTCTTCTGGACTGACTGCTCCCACTGGGCGCTGCTCTCCTGGGTAAACATCAGGCAGACTGAACACATACTGTATTTTATCAGGCTCTCAGACAGAGTATGAAATATATGACTTCCTATTTACTTTTAATTCTGTCCCACTTGTCTGTAGTTAAACCTCCCTTATGCTCTGTCAATTTCTGCATCCCATATTACCCTACCAATTGTCTGTCCTCTTCCTTTCTCTGCCCCTAGTTACCTCTGTATCCAGGGTTCGGTTTCATCCCAGCCAGAGGAGGGCCCGACAGGAGGCCGCTGTTCTGCAGGATCCTATTGCCCTGAGGGTACCAGCTATATGGTTCCCTGCCCTGCAGGCACCTTCAGCTCCACAGATGGTGGCATATAACATTGAATCCTTATGCACAAAGACTAGTTGTGGCATTTAAATATGATAGACTGACTTAACTGAAGTCATTAATGGTGTTAAGTGTGAATTTTGTCATCAGTAAAAAATGTTCTGCCTTCCTTTAAAAAACTCAAAAGAAGTGAAGTGGAAATATTTCACTCTGCAGTCATTCATTCCATGTTTAATTTATGGTTTATCCTTTCAGGTCAGATTTATGAGTTATATTCTTGGTTTATCAGGGGCAGTTTCTATAGATGCATGTCAGCCCTGTTTGCCTGGCCATTATTGTGCTGAGGTTGGCCTCTCCTCCCCATCTGGGCCCTGCAACTCTGGCTTCTACTGCACGGAGGGATCCAGAACAGCCATACCTCAGGGTAATATCGCAAGTAACATGCTTCTTCTTCTTGCCCTTTACGTAGTGTTAATAAATGCATGGCAACATGCACAACTGGTTATTATAGACATGGTATTTGTTTTATTTAAAAAAGCTTGAAAACTAGCGTGCTGTGCACCATTTTCTGTCATTGCACTTTGGTTTTTATGTAACATTTTCAAGGCCTTTGATTCCACAGTGCTGTAGAAGGCTCCACAGAACATTTAACAGCCCCCACTCCTTTCTCTTAGCAGTATTTTTGTTGTCTCTGGCCTTTTACTTTACTTGCTGACTTAATGAGTAATGACATCTAAGAAAGGTCTGTTGTCTCAGTTACAGGAGATACCACATCTCAATACCCACATCCTGGCAATTCAACCCTTGGTCATTTCCATGGTGATGTGTGTCCTGCAGGCCACTATTGTCCTAAAGGGAGTGCACAACCAAGTCCTTGTCCACCAGGTAGAAAGCCAATACACTGATACTGAGCTCTAAAATAAAAAATTGAAAATATACCTATTAACCTGTATCATGAATGTGTTGTTCAACAGAAGTAAATTACCTGTCATTTGCTAGGTGTTTGACCTCAAGCTTTTATTATACCGCTTCCTGATGTCTTGTATAGTGCCATAAAAGTGACAGAGGTACAGTACAATGGCTCAGCATATCCAAAACCATAGAGGAGGTTGTAAAACCTAATGAGAGTCTAATAAAACTATCATAATGGTCAGCAAGCTACTTAACCAAGTGATTACATGGATCCATCTAAAGTGCCCAAACATGCCTTTATACTATGCAATTCTCTTTTCTCTCTATGTGTATCTGAGTATGTGAAGGAGTTAAAGAAAAAGTGGGAGTTATTTTTGCTCACATGATAATTTCTCTTCCTCTTATAGGCACTTTCTTGACGAGATCTGGGGCAGAGTCCAATGCTGACTGTGAAGTGTGTTACCCAGGATTTTATTGCCCCTTGTGGGCTCAGACCTCTGCTGATCTCCTTTGTCCCCCAGGGTGGTTCTGTCCACCAGGATCAGAGTCTGGACATCAGCCAGGTACAGCAGGCATCATCAGGGGTTAGCTCAGGTTTGACCATGCTAGTTTTTGCACTTCATCATTTTGTTTTATTTATTTATTTTTTACACTGTGTCATGGACTGATCAGTTTCCAGATAGAGAGACACAATGCACTCACGCTAAAAGCTTTAAGTTAGTGCAATTTTACATAGGATATTGTACATTTTCACTTAAAAGAGAAGGACAAACTACTATAAACTGGTTGCATTTGGCGCTAAAGTGAAGCAAATTACAACCATCATATCAGGTTGCACTGCAGATAGCAATGTCAACATGCGCCATGTGACATTTGTTGTTGTCCTAAAATCATGCGTCAACAAAATACTGAATTTTGTGGAGCAAAGAAACTAAGAAACAATGTTTTTAGGCTTGGACAAAGAATTTTTTGATAATTAATTAATTTCATTTTGCTTAAGAACTAGAATAAATTCTCATAGCCTAAACACATCAAAGAACACCTGTAGTAATCCCTACATTTATCTGGAAAAAGTAAAAGACTAAAAATGACCAATACTACATGATTCACGTGGTTTTCTTTGCTGAAATACAGTATGGCTAATGGCCACCTTAATCTCCTTAAATAAATAAATGTATTAAATCATATTAGTACTATACATATGTATTATACTATATATATATTGTTTTTTGTATGGACATGTCTCTTGGTTTCATTTTAAACAAGTAGGCACCAGATAAGTGTTTGAACTTTTCTTTATGTGTCACAGGATGTCAGTGCCCGCCTGGTCATGCGTGCCCACATGGCAGTGCTGAGCCCACCATCTGTAGCCCTGGCACTTTTCAGTCTTCATCTGGTCAGTCCACTTGTAATGCCTGTCCTCCAGGTAATATAAAAACAAAAACACCTGTGTACTCACATTTGTAGACAGTAAAGTGTACACAAAGGAATGAAATGTGGACTGAAGCTTAATGTAAAATGGGACACCTTGCCCAGGTTTCTACTGTGTGGGGGGTTCATCAGTGCCATCTCCGTGTCTGATGGGCCATGTCAATCCGTTAGCTGGCAGGGCATCCCACACTGACTGCTCCCCTTGCCCCCCTGGCTCCTTCTGTAACAGCAGTGCCCTGGCAGAGCCATCTGGACCTTGCAGCCCAGGTTTGAACTGAGCAACAGTATGAGTTTCTTTTCATCTACTATATTCCTACACTGTGTAAAGCCACAGTTTCCCCTGAATCACACATTTCACCTATACTGCATTGTACTGTCAATACTGCAGTATTCTGCATGAGGTCTGACTGCATTGTTTACCACAGGACATTTTTGTTCCTTGGGGTCCACTGAGCCTTGTCCTGTCTCCCAGCCTTATGGAGATGTTTGTCCCATGGGACACTATTGTCCTCAGGGTAGTCAGTTACCCAAACCCTGTCCTGTTGGCAGCTACCTCCCAGAGCCTGGAGCTTCCTCCCCGTTTCACTGCCGCCCTTGCCCCCCAGGAAAATACTGCCTCGGTCCTGGAGACTCACAGCCCACAGGTGGGGGATTTCATTTGTCATCATTACTTAAAAAATATACAGTATAAGGCCAATTGTGTAAAAACATTTTATGTTGCGTCTGTGCAGCTACATACAGGTTAGTCTAAATTCCAGACCCCTCAGTCACTGCTAGAGTGTGGACACTTGAACTGAGCCTGACGGGACCCATCAGTAGCTGAGGGTTCGGGCCAGGTTTGGAGAGAAATTTAGAAATTATGTTCAGGTTCGGATTGGGTGCGGATCCTTAGGTCAAACTTTAGGCTAGACAACCGGAGCACTCAATGTCTGCTTTGTTTAATGATGAGGGGAAACACACCGAATGGCAGCTCCATCTGGTTATCAGCATATGCTAATGAGAAATGTAATCAATTTGTGCTTTCGGGGCTTTTATATTATCTCTCTATGTTAGGTTTGTGTTTTGCAGGTTTCTTCTGCTCTGGAGGTGCAGATAGCCCCACACCTCATGTCAACTCCTCTTTGTTCAGCTGTCTCTGTGAAATACTAGAGGTTTATACCACAAGGACAGACACAGCCTTCTGGAGGCACAATATGTCCTGTGTCAGTAACTCCAGTAATTCCGGTAAAACATGTGTTTCTTCAGTGTGTAATAAATGCCTCCTTTAAAAGGGCAGTGTCATGTATTGTTATAATGTCCCACACATCAGCAGCTTTCCAGTTTGACCTGCCCCTAAAGTATTCTACTATTAATCATTGTCTTCACAGTGTTACATTGTACAAAGAAGATATTCTCTTAACATTGTTCATGCTTTATCTGCCATGTTCTTTCATAGAGAGCAACACTGACTGGCTTCAAGTGGCAGCAGCACCACAGACAGATTCAAACCATGTTGTGACTCACTCACCGCCATGTATCAGAAGTACACATTATACATGCTCTATCTACACGGGAGATATATGCCCTAAGGGTGGGTAAATTGTGACTGTGAACTTGATGTGCTGCCCTTCAGGCATGTGTGTTATCTTCCTCACTCATGATAACATGGAAGTCCCACTACTGTAGCTGCTGAGACATGTGTCCAGTGTTGTGGCTCAGTTCACCTTATTAAAAAATGATGACTAAAATCTTACATTGGGACAAGGTGGTTTGAGGAATGAATTCCCATTATTTTCTTTCAGGGTTATATCCCATAATTAAATTACAATATCTTCAAGGTACAGTGACTCACTAAAGGCAGCACAAGTTAAACACAGATGGTTATGCAAACAGACTCAAATTCCGCTGTTTGAAGATCCAAAAGGCTGAATGATGGAGTTGGATTTCCATCTTCATCAAACAGCAGCACTGAAATAACCACAGTCAGACCAGCAAGGAACAGATTTTAATTCTCACAGCGCAGCAATTATTGACTCACAGGAAAATAAAAAAAAAATCTATAAAGCATGGGAGTTAAAGGTTAACAGTGTGACAGTTTGAGAAATATATGTAATAGTGACCATAATTCTTTTGGGCTGTTTTTCAGGTTTCTACTGTCCCTTGGGCTCTACCTACCCCCAGCCCTGTGTGGCTGGCTCTTACTGTAACCAGACTGGTCTAGCTGCCCCAGCAGGGTCCTGTGCTGCAGGATATTACTGTCCCAAAGGCTCCTTAGACCCTTATGCCACCCCATGCCCAAGAGGACACTATTGTCCCCCTGGAACTCCTCTTCCTCTGCCCTGCCCTGTTGGAACCATAAAAAGTGAGATACTGCTGCTTTGTAATATGGCTGTATTTGTCAGAGTCCTCTAATAATTTCACTTACTGGTTGATTTTTGTGAACAACGTTTCAAAACAAAACTTTGTGCTACATCCTTTGAAAAGAGAGAAAAGTCAGTAACCCCCTGATGGTCATTAATCATGAATACAGCACTACACAACAATACAACACTTGAGCCTTTTTGTTGCACACAGTGTCAGTTTTGCTGCTAATGTCCTTACATGAACTGGTGCCTATCTTTGCAGTTCAATGAAATATGGAAATTTTCATTCTTTCCCTTCAGTGCTCATGATTAATTTCAGTCACAAAGCCATTTAATTGTGTAATTGTATTCTCGTCTCACGGTGGACAACTAGAATCCTATTAAACAATGCAGTAGTTCCTTTGTATTTTTACAAATTTATTCTGTTAAGGAAATACTGCATGCACTTTGCATCAAATTAATATTGTCATCTATTTTAATGCTTTTATTACCTTAACTTACAAAGTGATTTTCTGCTAGTCAGGAAACCCTGTGAACACAGGGACTAAACCAACTGATCTGTATATGGTGTCCTATCCATCAGGGTCCCTTGGTGGATCCACAGTCAGGGCTTGCCAGCTCTGTCCTCCAGGTCACTACTGCCACCAGAGAGGCAGAGCTGAGCCAAGTGGCCAGTGCACAGAAGGCTACTACTGTCCTGAGGGACAGAGCTCTGAGACACCACAACAACATGTTTGCTCAGTGGGACATTATTGTGAGAAGGTCAGCCATTCAGTGTTCAAGCCATTATCAGTCACCGTCGCTGTACATTGGATGTGATGTCTCTGCATGAGACTGTTTTTTTTATTCTGTCTTGATAAGTGTCCTGCTGCTACTATAAGTCATGTTTCCTTTCTGCTTGTCTTAATCTTCATTTTATTTTTTGTCTGTTATAGTCGCTTCTGTTATTTTGAACTGTGATTATACCTGACGATGCATGTTATTCCATAGATATAAAGTCTAATTATGTCAATTTACCGGTTGCTTCAGGGCAGTGTCAGACAGACACCCTGTCTCCCAGGCAGCTACCAGCTCAGACCAGGCCAGGGCAGCTGTGAGATGTGCCCTGCTGGTTTCTATTGTCAAGATCAAGGTAAAGCAGATGGGTAGACAAATTTTGAATGACAAAGCATTTTGCTGCTGGGATCATAAATGTAATCAGCCTTTAAATGGTGGTTAATTTTCTAAGAAATGAAAACAAATCTTTCTTGTGATTTTTGTATCTGCACCTCAGGAATGAGCCTTCCACTTCCCTGTGAGAGAGGATTTTATTGTGACAGTGGCTCAGTAAATCAACATCCCTGTCCAGCAGGGACCTATGGAAACATGTCAGGACTGGTTGAGGAATGGCAGTGCTCAGACTGTGACCCTGGGATGTATTGTAAAGAAACAGGTACAATGCATCCACTTTCCTGACTCCTATCAATTACTTGTCATGAATTTCTCACAGATATATTGTGTCTTGCAGACAGGTGCAATATAGATTTAGTGATGTTTTCCAGAAACAGTAAAGGTTAACGGCTGCGCTGTTGTTAAGCTGATGAAAAACCTTCCTTGAATGATATTTTTTTGAAGGGGGGACTTTCCCCAGTGGGCCATGTGCTGCAGGCTTTGTTTGTGTTGGTGGAGCCTCTGAACCTTCACCATCAGATGGTCTGACTGGATTCCAATGCCCTCCTGGATTCTTCTGCTCTATGGGGACCTCTGTACCAAAACCATGCCCAAAAGGAACATTCAGGTAACTGGCATTATGGGATGTTTTGTTAGTATATATTATGAAAGTGTCATGAAACAGGTGATGAAATCTGAAGTGTTAGTCTTTTTTAAAGGTAGGAGTGTGGAGTGCTTTCTCTGTTGTAATGCTGCACAGTGTTATCCAAACCTCATGAACTTGTGTGAATGCTGCTGTGGTTTATAGTCATTGAAATGTTCACATCTTTTGACAGTGAGCAGAGGGGGCTTGTGGATGAGTCTCAGTGCCGTAGCTGCAGTCCTGGCTTCTACTGCTCAGAGACAGGCCTCTCTGTGGTCTCTGGACCATGCCTGCCAGGTAAGAAATAAGAATGAGAATTTAGTTATGCTAGTGTGGTGCATTAACCTACCTGATATGAAAGTGTAGCTTTGCAAAGATAATAGTGAAGTATTTGTCCCCAGGTTTCTACTGCCTAGAGGGATCTCAAACTGCTACTCCAATGTCAAGTGTATCTGGGGGTGTTTGTCCAGCAGGACACTACTGTCCAGAGGGCACCAGTGTACCCTTGCCCTGCCCAGCTGGTTACTATCAAAATAAGACTGGATCAAAAGGCAAAGAGGACTGCAAACCTTGCCCTTTTGGTAAACAAGAAGTTATACAGTTTAAAACCTATCTCTGCCAGACTGACTTTCCTTTATACTGTATATAAATTCTATCGCCCTCTCATAAGATGTCCTTGCTGTTTCAATGTCTTTGCCAGGCTGGTTTCAGGATTTATCAGGTCATAAAGAGTGTAATCTCTGTCCTCCTGGATTCCTCTGTCAGTCTCTGAAGCCTGGCCCCACAAGGGGGAGCTCTACTGGAATCTCTAGTCCTCTCCCCTGCCCAGCTGGCTACATCTGCCCCAGGGACAATCCAGGCATTCCACCTCTCCCCTGTCCCAAAGGCACCTACAGCCCCAGCCAAGGTCTCACAACAGCAGGTAGAATCCCAGAACCTTTGTGAAAAAACAGAGCACATGTAATTATTTGGCCTTTTTGTTTAGCTTTTTTTATGTTGGGAGAAAAAATAAATAAATTTAGAGACTAATTAAGAGCGTACATGTTAAAACTGATGTTTTTTGATGTAACTCTTGAGGGAATCAGTCATTATTCAAATCAGATTTGTCTTAAAACAGCCTGCAAGAAAACAGCTTCAAAGCTTACAAATCAGATGGTTTTTCCCCAAAGGCACCTTCCTTAATTTAGTTCACTCAAAACACTAGCACTGCACAGCAGTGCGTAACCATCACACAGACGTGTTGATCAGACCTGGTAAGTAGCTTGTTTTGCTTTTAAGGACTAGAGTCAAAGCTGTCCATCTCTGTGTTTGCAGGTGAGTGTCTAGTGTGTCCTCTTGGTCAATTCTGCGGGTCTGAAGGTTTGGTTGAGCCTTCAGGATCATGTGCTGCTGGATTTCTTTGTCTGATGGGTGCCACGATGCCGAACCCGACTGACAACAGAACTGGATCCCTGTGTCCACCTGGGATTTACTGCCTTCAGGGGAAAAGAGCAGGTGGATGGAATAAAAGACAGCTAATCCATGTGATCCTTGTGTGATGAAATAAATGTTTTGGTTTTTTTATTTTAGAGATAAGAACCCTCATTTGTTTTCCCTTTTGCACTATAGGTGATTGCTGGCCAGGGTTTTACTGTGACTGGGGCTCTAGCAGAGCAGATCAAGTGATGTGCCCAGCTGGTTTCTTCTGCCCCAGTGGAACACCAGTCCCCTTACCCTGTCCTGCAGGAACATTTAGTTCTCAAACAGGCAACATACATCAAGAAAACTGCACAGTCTGCACCCTTGGATACTACTGTCAAGGTGGGAAACATGGCTTAGCCTAAAAATATGTTCAGCAAGAACTGCATGAACATTTCTCTACATTCAGCATTCAACAATCATCCGGGAATCCATTCACAGCAGTAGTCACGTTAAATTAACATGTAGTACAGCTACAAGGCATATTTTAATAAGTTATTCTGACTAGGGACACAGCAATTATTACAGACATGTCTAAAACACACAAATCACTGCTTAGCTACTAAATATTTACAAGCCCATGTGCTCTATGTTTAATAAGAGCAACAAATTCCCACCAATTCTATGGGGAATGTCCAGAGTCATTCTGAGAAGAGAAGTGCAGCAGAGCTCATTTTGTTCATCCTCAGGTAAAATGGGGACATCCTAACAGGAGTCACAGCTCCTTTATCTCAGCCAATTTAACCAATAACTGATTTTACAGCGTCAGCGATCCCTTTGCTATTGTAACTTTTCAAAGTCAAAGACTTCAGCCATTCCAAATGGTTGTGAAAATGGTCTCATCAGAGATGATGTGTCTAACTCTTCTTGGTGTGGCTCAGCTGAAGGTACTATACAGCCTGCACTGTGTCCCGGTGGATACTACTGTCCTCCGGGACTGATTCTAGGACTGGAGTTCCCTTGCCCACCTGGCACTGTGCAGAGCCAGCACGGAGCCTCCAGTCCTGATGCCTGCCTGCCCTGCCCTGCTGGTATGTGAAGGATCAGTCATACATTATTGTGTATGAGATATTAAATTACATGTGCACAGTCAAGTCAGTATGTTTAAAATCATGATGATGTTCATTTCATTCTGGTGGTGTTTCCTACAGGAATGTTCTGCTCTCATCCTGGTCTGTCGGAGCCCACAGGACCCTGTGAGGCAGGGTACTACTGTCCTGCTGGATCATCCAGCCCAAACTACACTGAGTATCAGGTGTTGTTCCCATTCCCTGTTGCATCTAACTTGCTTGGTCAGTCAGTCCTTTGTAAATTCTAACTGACTTAATCTTTATGTCTACAAGAAATTTGATTAGTAGATTGTAAAAAAAAAAAAAAAAACTGCCCCGTTCATGCTCCCCAGGCTTGACCTCTTCTTATTGACACCTCATAAATGTTCTTCAAATGGCACCATCTCATGTAATCTCAGCTTGCACACAAGATGTCAAAAATGACTACATTTCATATCATACAATCAATTTTTATCAAATCGCTAAACATAGTGGGAATAAATAGTTTTGATGTACTGATCACATGACCTTTCCATGTCATATTTTTGTTCCACTAATAGTCAGGCTCCAAGAAGAAAATCATTGTGTTTTGTGGTCATTCAGGTGGTGTGTAATACAGACCTCTGGGTTTAATTAAAGACAAGTTACTGCATGCAAGCAATGTATGCTCTAGAGTAATATGGTTTCTCAGGAAATTGTGGTATCATAAATACATCAGTCATCAGTGTTTTCTAGTTTATTTGTTTCTGCTTTATCTCAGGGGAAATCTGCCAGAAGCCAGCTTTGCCCCTCTGGCCACTACTGCCCCTCTGGCACCGGGTATCCACTCCCCTGCCCCACAGGCTCTCTTTCCATCTCACCAGGACTGAAGGGAGTTGAGGAATGCCCACCCTGCCCCTCTGGACTATTTTGTGACAGGCCTGCGCTAACAGAGCTCTCAAATGCTCTCCCATGTCATGCTGGGTAACACAGCTCTTCTGCTTTTTCTTAGCTCTCTCCCTTCTGAATATGAATGGACATACAGGTTTTTCGGGGGCTTTTGTCCATAATCAATATTATTTACATTGTTCACTAAATAGTTTTCCTCTGGCCTGAAAAGAAAGTGGTCAAGAAGTTTGTTTCCACTGTTGGTGCCTACAGGTATGTGTGCCTCGGTGGCAGCTCCACTCCCACCCCTTCAGATGGTTCACATGGCTACCTTTGCCCCTCTGGCCATAGCTGTCCTGTTGGCTCTCCATCTGAGGTGCCCTGTGAGCCTGGCTCTTACAGTCCTGCCCCTGGAGCAGACCACTGCATATTATGTCCCAAAGGAACCGCATGTAACTCCTCAGCCACTCGGGAGCCCCATATCTGCCCAGCTGGTAAATAGAGAAAATAAACAGAATCTACAATATAAATCAAATCATCAATCCACTTACATAACAGCAGCAGGAGTGCTACATTTCTAATTCTATCTAGTTCTGTTTTTAATTCTATTTCTAATGCTACTAATGAATAATAAACAAAATATTTAATGAGTGTTCTTTTCTTAGGTCATTTCTGTCCTACTGGGACAGCACTGCCTCAGCCCTGCCCTTTAGGGACTTTCAGCAACCACACAGGGGCCTATTCTCTTTCTGTATGCACTCCCTGTCCCTCTGGAGTATATTGTGCCTCCTATGGAGCCTCAACACCGCAAGGTGACTTTATTTTAGCCTTTTAGCAAAATGGACACAGCCTTATACTAGTAAAAACCAACCAAACTGTGTGTATTTTTGTCTAGGTTCCTGTTTGCAAGGTTATTTCTGCCAAGGTGGAGCAGTGGGCCCAACACCACAGATCTCTGACACATTTCCCAGGAACGGCCTTTGCCCTGTTGGCCATTACTGTCCTGCAAGATGCCTATCCCCCATCCCTTGCCCTCTTGGCAGTATTCGCAACACCACTGGTGCACCTGCCATTTTTACTCATCATTAAATGACATTTTCTTGTCTTAGAATAGTTGAATCTTTAGTAAGTTTGGCATTTACATTTGAACGAGGTCTCTGGAGGATCTCTGCTTGTCTGACCATCTTCACTGCTATGTTCCTGTCATAGGAGGGGTGTCCATGGAGAGCTGCTCTGCCTGTCCTGCAGGTCACTACTGCTCCACTGAGGGTCTGTCCAGTCCCAGTGGCCCCTGTGCTTCTGGGTTCTACTGCCCTTTTGACTTCTCTTCAACTACTCCATATGCATTCCTCTGTCCCAAGGTTAGGGTTATTCGTACACATTTTTTCTTTCTAATCCTCTCTTCCATCAGATTCTCTTCTTGCCTTTCCTTGATTCAGTGTTCTTATTGTTTTAACCCTGTCACTCAGAGAGAAGCTTGTATATGTAACATTGTTTATGATAAATGTCCTGCTGCATTGAATGCCAACCCTCAAATGCACCTTTGTCATTTTCATTTCCTTCCAGGGCTATTACTGTTCAGAAGGTTCCGCTGTGGCCTTGCCTTGTCCCACAGGAGAATACCAGCCAAACGCGGGCTCACATAGCTGCATCCCCTGCCGACCTGGATTCTACTGCGAGGAGGCCATAGATGGAGAGCCACGGCCCTGCCCACCACACTCATTCTGCCCTGCAGGTACACTAAACAGACAATTTTAACTACAAGGGTGCCAGCTTTAATTTAAATCTACCCACCAGCATCTCTGCAGCTCACTAATACATAAACTGAAGTGTGCCAGACTGCCCACTGTAGCTGCAAAACTGCTGTACTCATATGAGCGTGGTATCACTATTTCCATCTAACTTTCAGTGGTAAAGTTAAAAAGCTTATTTCCCAAAATGAACTACTACTTTAGTTTTTGCAAAACATTATGAACCATCCTGAAGAAAATGACTTTAAAACTGTCTTTATTTTTGTTAGTGCAACAAAATATTAGTCTGTTGCTGTGATTACATTTGTTGTAATTACTGTGTAATAAGTCACGCAGCTTTTCTCGGTTCTTCTGCATCAGCCACCATGAAGCCTCAGCCCTGCCCTAATGGGACATACACGCGTTCAAACCAGGAGGGACTACAGGAAGTGACAGAGTGTTTACCCTGCCCTCCGGGGAAGTTCTGCAGGTACACTGGATGCCTCACAGGCCCTGTGCGTGCATGCAGATGCACTCAAAATTGCACTTGTCTCACTCTCGCATGGCATGGTCAGACTCACAGTTATGCACATGCACATCCTTAACTCATGCGTACACGTCCTGTACATGCACATGCTCAAAGGCAAATGACTCTGCTTTGATTATACTCACACTTTGCCATAATACAGGAGTATATCATGGTTCACTCAACAGCCAAATTAACACCTTAATATGCATAAATACAGTATGAGCGTACATGAGAGGTAAAAGTGTGTAATGTATGTAATGTAAAAATGTATATACTTATCGTTATGTTCATTTAGTAAAAGATAGATTTTAGTTGTTTTTTTTTTAATGTTCTTGTGTGTCTATGTGTTGTTGTGTAGGGTAAATCCTGTGGTTTTTGTGTACATTTTCTTCAGGGCTGGTAGGATCCAGGGTGTGTGTGCTGCAGGGTATCTTTGTGTTTCTGGAAGTGCTGATTTCACACCTCAAGGATCAATGTCTAATTTGACCCAGTGCCAGTGGGGCATGCAGTGTGCAGGACCATGCCCATCAGGTACAACACATCAATTCTAAAAACAAAAAACAGACAACCACACCCACCACTGGCATTTGAATTATGTACACTTTTTCATGTATTATTCTCAGAACCTTTTTGGGTGGTTAATTGGTTTATAGTTTAATCATTTAAACAGTTTAGGACTGACTACATTTTTTCTAGGTTTCTATTGTCTCGAGGGTACAGAAAAGGCTCGGTTGTGTCCTGCAAACACGGTCAGAAGCTCCCCAGGAGGTGCCAGCCTGCAGGACTGCTTACCCTGCCCACCTCAGTATTGGTGTAAACCCGGTATGAGCAGATAGTGGTCTTTAAATTGTGTTTAAATCATGAAACTGCCTTTTTTGGAGAAAAATTGTTTTGCCAAGTGATTAAAAAAAGAATGACTGAGTGACACATTGGTCCAGACTTTCAAAGCAAGAAGGTCACTGTGTACTGTAATGGGAGTAAAAACTGGCCATCTTCAGCATAGATTAGCAGCTGTCAGTTCTGACGCTCGGGAAGCTAAATAATGCTTAATAGTTTTTGTACCAGGTGGAGTTGTTAATTGCAGTCACGCTGTGTCTTGTATAAACTGAGCAGAAGTAAATGCCAGGTCCTAGAATAGTTAAATCTTCTGGCTCAGAATTAAAAAGAGCTAAAGAGCCCTGCGTTGTGAAGACTGGGCTCGTGAAAGGTCAGAAACGCAGCCAGGGACAAGTGCTTGATGAGCTTTGATGAGCCTAGAGTAGTGAAATAAATTCTCCAACTGATAAGCAAGACTGTAACAAGCAAACAAACAATTTAATCTGAAACCCTTGTCCTGTAAAAATTAAGCATTTTGTTTATTTACAGGAGACCCAGTCCTACATTTGTGTCCCCCTGGTCATTACTGTGATGGTCTGTTTGGACATGACTTCAATGGAGGGACAGGACCCAGGCCGTGTCCTTTGTATACATATCGAGCTTCCCCTGGTGCAGGCAGCAAGGGTGACTGCCTGCCCTGCCCTCCTGGTTCACACTGTAACAGCACAGGTCTAGCATGCTACGTCTTATACATTAGAGCATGACCCACCAATTAACTAAGTAACTAAAATTACATGTGTGTTAAAGATCCACCTTACTCAAATTTCCTATTTTTACACAAATATCATTCCTGTTGTTTCACATTCCTCTGCTGAAAGGTGTGGATGTCTGAGTTTGAAAGAGGCTCATGCAGACCAGATTTATGACACCACAAATGTGGACAGGCCCTTTACAGAGGTTCAGTGAACTTTTTTGAGGACAAACTGTTTGACTATATATTGTTTATAGCTGAGTATTTTTATAGTTTATTTTTTATAAATATTAAAATGTCTCTGGAGTGGAACTTAAATTTTCCACTGCATGTGATTTTTCCCTTTTCATTTGGCTATTCCCTGTGCCAACTCTATAACCAATTGTAAAATATACATTTACACGACTCTCCCTGTTGGGTTTGAATTTACATGAACAAGGACAGTTCAAGGCAAATTGCCTTTCTAGGTTGCATTAATCTGACTTTGTATGCATGCTGATATACGAGGGCCTGAGTGTGTGCCTGAGCTAAGAGTAAAGGAGATACAATGTGGCTTAAGGCACTGAATTTACAACTTGTCATACCTCAGGCTACAGTAATGATTTGCTGTTGGATTTATAAAGAAAAATGAGAAATGAAGCCATATTTTCACTTATCTAATGGATGATGCCCAGCAGACGGTGCCTTTCCTTCTTCCCTCTTCTTTGAATACATAAATTAAAGCTTCTTAGATAAAGAGTAGTAAAGGTTTAACTTGTCTTGCAGTCATTTTGGTAAGCTTTATGGTTGAGGTGCTTGTGTAAGTTCCCTCTCCATGTGTGTGGAAGATGATGCAGCAAAGTTACAGTATGAATATAATAGTGAAGTGATGAGTAGGTTTTTCAGACAACTGTTATTTTTCAGAGCTTACAGACTACTCCAACAGTCCCTGCCCTCCTGGTTACTGGTGCAGTGGGTCTGGACCCCCCATCTTTTGCCCTGCAGGCACCAAAAGGCCCCTTCCTGGAGCTGCTGCACCCAGCCAGTGTGAACCCTGTGCAGGGGGAACCTTCTGCCCAGACCCTCGGGCCACAGGCAAAGCCAATGTGGAGGGGATCCCATGCAGGGCCTCTTATCAATGTCCCACAGGTAGGTTTATCAACATCGCTTTTAACGTTAACATATATTAGCTTCTGTATGTGATAACTTTGATTACAGTAGTGAGTTTCTACAGTTTCCCCCCTTGAATCCAGGTGCAGTCTCAGAGAGACAGTGCAGAGCTGGCTCATACTGTGGACCTCAGACAGCTGAACCTCAGGTCTGTCCTGAAGGTTATTTTTGTCCTGCGGGATCTTATTCCTACAATACTCCCAAACAACTGTGAGTGCATGAGAGGTCTATCCAAACACCACTGACTGACATGGAAATGAAGGGCTTTGACTGTTCAAATGAAAGTTTAATGGGTTTGGACTGATTGTACAGGGTGTGGGCTAAAGCTTTATAAACAACACTGTTACCCTGCTCCACAGCTGTCAGTTTCCCTACTACTGCCCAGCCAACAGCTCTGCCATGCAGCCCTGTGAAGGGGGCTACATGCCTGTCAACACCAGCGGGCTCAGGGGATCCAAAAACAGCTTCTGTAGTATGTGTGAAGGGGGAACCTTTCGTCCCTACCTCTCCCCCTTACTTCAATGCCTTCCATGTCCACCAGGATACTTCTGCCCCCCAGGTACAGCAATCACCATAATCGCCACCACAAATCATTCCAGATCTCAGTTCATACGGTATTTGTTATTCCATTGCTTAATTTCAAATAAGGCTTGAACGTATTTTAATTCAACAGGTACTGCCCACTACAAGATTAACCCTTGTCCTATTGGATATGCCTGTCCCATGGGATCCACTCAGCCGACGCCCTGCCCCCCTGGCTCCTTTGGTAACCTCACTCATGCCCAGAAAATGAGTGACTGTCACCCATGTCCAGCTGGCACCTTCAACCACCTGCCTGCCCAGAAAGCTTGCTTTCCCTGTGGCAGCTCTTCCACCTCAGCAGCTGGTTAGACCCCACCAGATGATCCTAGACAATTCAGATCACACAGAGCATAGAATAAAGCTGAGTACACTCCTGGCCAGTACTACTAACATGTTAAGTAATTAACAATCCTGACCATTTAGTACATTTGTTCTTCTTTTAGCCAAAGCCCAAGAAGAATGATTTGAAAAACAGAAATGTTCGACTTGTGCAGTGAGCATATTTGCAATCAGTCAGTACACCCTTCAACTGTTTTTTCACTTTTTTAATATTCTGTACGCCTGCGTTTGTTTTGAATCATATCAGTGTTGCAAATTAGTTTATTTTGGTTTCATCTGACTAAAGAATGTGCTGCCATCTTTCATCTGGCAAAGTTTAAAACTTACTGTTTTGTATCTTTTTGTGATTAATGGTTTTCATCTTGGACGCCGTCTGTTTATCATTACAAGTTTAAATACTGAACGGTGCATGGTGTCAGGTTTTGCGGATGGCCACTCTGCCTTCTGTTACTCCTAACCACTCATGTACCCTCTCCCATCTTAATGAAATCTCACAATCTTGATCTTACTTGTTCAGGCAATCCCTTGCCATTTGGAGCCATGTTGCATTAGAAACAACATGGGGTAAAAACTGAAAAAGCTGTGGTGCTCATATGTTCTTTATTAATCTTGTTCATTTTTACCCTTAACTGGAAATCATTGTCACAGTCCCTTTTGTTGCTGTAATCACAGGTAAACTGACTTCTCACAGTGAGGTTGTAGTTTTGGGGTCTGTATGTTTAATGTAGTTTGTCTACACTTTGAAATAAAAATATTGCAAGATAGTGCAATTTTGATTAATTTAACATTTTAGTCATATTGCACAGGGTTGGACTCAGTTTTGTTGAATGAATATGCTTGTTTTTTTAATCAAATTAAATATTAAAAAATGTAGTTATTATTAGCCAGAGTTTACATCATATTTTTCAAAGACCTCTTCAGTTGTTCAAGAAAGTATCTTGATCATGCCAACATGCTGTGTCACATCTGTTTTCTCAGGCTCTTCTTCTTGTATATGTATTGGTAAGAACCGTGCATTTCAGCACTCAGATGGCTCATGTTTGTGCAGAACTGGTTTTATCTTCTACGATGAACTGGATTTCAAAGGCTCTGCAACTGACAGTGGAGTAGACTGCCAGCCTGAGGTCAGTAGCAGATCTCAAATCAGGATGTATTCATCATATGAATCAGTTGTTTGAATTAGTCATTTCTTTCTTTCAAATGTTTTTATAGAAATGCAACTGAAGATGTGGATTGGTTGAAAGTCTGCAGACAGATGTGCTTTTGTGCAGTAGTATAGACGGGGAAACTCCTGTTTTGATTGTAATTTAATTGCTCTGATTATTTGGAAATCCATATGCCACTGTGAGATGGAGAAAATACTCTCCAGTGTTTAATGATGTAATGATCAGCGGTATCTGTATCGGAAGCTGCTTTAAATGTTTGTCTGTGTGTGTTTTCAGGTGAACAAGCAGTGTGCCACTGGACAGGTACGGCTTGCGGCATCCAGAGAGTGTGTGGCACCTTCCCGCCATTCCTGTAATATCACATGTGGACCACGTGGAGGAATTCTAGATGTGGAGATGGGAATGTGAATCTAACATTTGTATTTCAAATTAAATTGGTCATTCACAGAAGCCTGGAAAGACAGTTACTGTTTTTAAAGTAACCCTGTTGGAACCACTAAAACTACTGTGGTTGACTTTATCCCTAGGTAATGAATAGTCTAATATGCTGCTTGTCTCTTTGTCTTTTGTCTTATCTGCCTGATCCTATTGCTCTAGCTGCCAGTGTGAGCAATATGTGTCGGCAGAGGAGCTTTGCGATACTTCCTGCCTTTCCAGACTGCTTCAGCTCTCTGCCCAGTTCTCACCAGATGGACACCTGCTGCTCAGTCTCAAAGAGAGAAACAGCATGGTCAGGGCCAAGGTGAAGGAGAGGCAGCAGGGCAGTTTACAGACTGATGATCAGCTACATCTTGTAAGCACATGCCATTTTTATTTCTCTTTTACCTTACTGATCACTTACAGTCTGTATATGAATAAGAGGCAGGATTTTCACAGGCTGCTACATGCAGAAAAAAATAAGCCCAATAAAACATTAGCAGCCTTTAATTACTTAGCAGAAA